CCTATTTTTGTACCGGCGCTCAATATCCAACATCCTTGCGACTACTCCAGCGAGTATCAACCATAATTTCAAGCTGGCAAATGACAAATGATATTGGATATTCAGCGAAAGCTGTATATATGCTGATCTGGTTGTACCCTTCCCGGGATCACCTGACCTAGAGTCGCATGATGTCCACGGGTTCTCCCATAGTGCTACTGATTGTTTGAGGAACCCAGTAGTTTGTAGTCTTTGATCTACTCATTCCCCCTTTCCGTACGATTCCTATTTTCCCTACCAGTATCTACCGCTTTGTATACTTGAGACCGTTTGTAGATCACCATACAACATAGTATAACTCGAACCCCAGATCGGTCTAACGTAATATGGCTTCCACTTACATCATATACACTTTGGTACTTACCAGCCGTTTAATCAAGTGAATTAAACAAGCACTTCAAGGGATCCATAATAGTATAAAAGATATAAAAATAGGAGATAAGGATGTGACTTTTTTTTATACTCCATACCGCAAATTAACCTACGATAATCGAGTTGATAATACGATTGTACGTAAAGAATCCAATCCTCCACCAGATAGCGATTGGCGGGTAAAAAGATGCAGATCAGGGCCCCAAACTCTCTCTGCAGGCCGCCCGAAGCAGGAACACTGACGCCATCGACCCACTTTGGCCGCTATGGCATGCATCGTGGTATTGTACTTGTATGTATTGGTAACATGGTATTAGTAAATTAGTAACTTTGAATGCACATGAGCTGGGCTACGTGGACTCCTTCCACTGGATACTTTTTTTTTTTTTCCTTTTTACTTCTTTCTCTCATTTCCCTTTTCCAGTTGATGTCTGCGCCAAGGACCTGTCATAACCTTGGAAGTCGCTTTATCATGTAATACTAACCTACTACCTAACCTATGGACCATTTGGAAAGCCTTACAGGGATTATGGAATGTTCTTTTGCCAATGTACCTCCGTAGATCAAGCGCTAGCACCCCTGAAACATTCTCATAATAGATTCAGCCCCAGCAACCAGGGTGCCGTAGCACAAAGAAACACAGTATTTCCTAAATATATACTCCGTACAGAGTGTAATATGAGTGTGTCAAAGTCGGGATGTGCGGCCCCAGATTTTAGATCCATATTTTCCTAGTGGGGTGAGTTTGTTATGGCTAGCCTTTGCCAATCTTTTATTTTTTATATATAACATAATAATAATGGGACTTTTCCATGCAGTGGCCACGAGTTCGGTTGCCACTATATTGTTGTTCCACGTAGTATACATACGGTTGGGGCTGCCAGTTTGGGCATTTGAAAAAAAAGTCAAAGTTTAAAATAAAAAAAAGGGGGAAAGGGGGAAAAGAAAGAAAAACTAGCCGATAAAAAGAAGCAAAACTAAATAAAATTCTCACGATGTGCGTTGGGAAAACCCTAAGGAACAATGGTTCCTGTGAGTGGAGTCCTAAAAAAGGTGGAAGAATTCTACCTGGGCAGCCCTGGAGGGCTTGTTAGTCAAAGAACCCTTGGAAGTCTTGGAAACATACATACAATATTTTAGTAATAGTACAGTTATTTACTTTACTTACTTTAATTACTACTAACTATGCATTGCCATGTATGCATGTAAAATCATTACCCCAAATCCAGTAAATAAAAGCAGCGTAAAAGCAGTAAAAAGTACAATACAACCTGTCCCTATACCTGTCAGTACGGCCACCTACAAAGACCAGTGGCGCAACGAAAATCCTCGTCCCATACCCCGTTATTAACGGCTACTGCCCGCCCTCCTCCCTCTCCTCTTTTCTTTTCCTCATTGCGTCCAACGTCCTCTTTTATCGAACGCTTTTTATCTTGGCCGCCACTACCGGTACTTGGTGTCCTGTCTAACGGCCGGCGCCAAACGGTGCGTAGGCTTGGTCCCCCTCTCCCCTCTCTCTCTCTCTTACTCTCCGATCCCTGACCACACCCCCCCCTTCTACCTCGCGCCTGAGATACCCTTTGGATTTTCAATTTCTTTCTGTTTTCTGTTCCAATCGAAGACAGTGCAGTGGCTCTCAACGGCATTCTACACTGCTTATCTGGCGTTCTGTGAACTCCTCCGCGCATTGGGACATTCGACTATACGATTATACCCTTTTGTTCATTTTGTTCTACTCGGCCCGAACTCTTTAAAGGAGCCCCTGCCAATCGCCTTGACGGCTTGATATCTCGGTCTCTTCAACGGATCTTTTTTATTTCAATACTTCAATTTTCCCCAATATACCTCGCGAATCATCGCATGTGTACCTCCCAGTAACACCGCAGCGATGCTCATCGATGGTGAAAAGTATGCTTGTGAGGCTTGCGTCCGGGGTCACCGAGTCAGCAGCTGTCATCACAGTGGTACGCTAATCTTGCGCTCTCTCGCAATAATGAATATCTTATGCTAATTCCCCTTAGACCGCCAATTGACCCATATCAACAAAAAAGGCCGCCCAGTCTCTCAATGTACTCACTGTCGCGGCCTACGCAAGTCTCGGACAACCCACACCCAGTGTGATTGCGGCGAAAAGAAGAAGAAGGAAGACTGCCATACTGGCATTTCCCATGGTCGCTGTGGCTGCTGTCATGGCCAGCGCTGCATTTGCGCACTCAAAAAGGAACATCTAGATACTGTGCCTGAAACCGGTCTTCCCTTCTCTCCGCCCCCACTGACGATTGAGACCCCACGGAAACCCCCTCTTACGTCTACCAAATCTGAATCGACGCTCACGATTTTCCGCGACGGTCATCATAAACCCGCCCACAAGCATAATGACATGGCCCACAAATGTGGATTGCCTTATACGATCCCGCGATCGCATACCATCCACCACCCAACCGACTTACCCCGTCGCTCGGTGGATCATTTGCCGCTAGGCCAGTCGACCTTTATCAAGGAACCTCTTACCCTGTCCGAATTTCCTATATCACAACAAACGTCGCAAAATGGTTCTCCCAACAGTGCGCATCTTTCGGGCGCCGAAGACGATGTGAAACCAGCCCCTCTCGATCACTCGTACCTCGACAATTTCGTTTCGCCAGCACCTCCCGCTCCATCATTAGACCGATCTCATGATGCGCTGTCAAACCCGATCTCTGCCCCTGCAACCATGGACAAATTCCCTCTGGAACAGATTGTCACCAGTGTCCCTCCCCTTGACGTCTCTTCTTTCGCCTCCTTCCCGGCCACGAGCTCCAACTCTCCGATCGCCTGCGTTGCATTCCAAGAACCCTACCAAGAATGTTATTTTACCTCTCCAGACTCCGATATGCCCCTGGGGTCTGCTGGCATCGGTGCTCCCTCGGTCGACTGGTCAAGTTTCCCTCTGTACTCTGACGTGCCTACCGCAACCAGCACGCAAGCTCCTTCATATGCTAGCTTTGACTACACCGGATATCCCTCGGGTCTTCCAGCGCCTTCATCATCCGGAGACATCTCCGAAGCTGACGAGTTTGGAACGCTTCCTGGTTTGGGTCATGCTAGCAATGACATGCACGATCTGCACAGTGTGAGCGAAACGTCTGACATGGACCATCTCCGCATCAGCTCTGCATCCTCATTGGTCGGTCTACCTCAGACGCGTCTCCTGTCATCCAATGACCTGGACTCGATCAACATAGACGATTTCCTCAAATCAACCAATGAGTCCACCGCTGCGCTCGAGCACCAGCTGCAAGCCAGCATGAGCATAGAGGCGAAACCGGTCCCTACTCAGGATATCTACACTATGTCGCAAATACCAGTGTACAAGCCCATGACGTCGGCCCCGATTCCCAGCGCTCCCTCGCCGCCCCCGGACTCCGTTCCTATCTGGGCTAGCGGTCTCTTCGATGCTGATTCCACCCCGCCCATGGATGATAACTTCTTCCAACAATCCTGGGGCCAGTAAGAAACAGTGCTGCTCGTTATTTATCCTTTCTTATATTCTCTTCCTCCCTATACTTCTTTTTGTCCTGGGGCTTGCTCTCTTGCGGCAATCTACCACCACCTCCACACCGTCTTCATGACCATGATGAGAGATTGATGATGAATGCCTTATTTGTCCTGTTCCATTAGCCAGTCTAGATTCCTTCCTTGATAGCCATTCAATCTAGAGGGGTTTGCGATTTGGACACTTGCATGTGCCTATACATTCTTTTGCTTTTGACTTCCGTATATGCACTATCTTTCGCTTTGCCTTCTCCCTGATGTATAGAATCTTTTTTTTTTTTTTTTTCTTCTTTTTACATGTACAATGATTTGGGTGGTATTTCTCTATACATTTCCCTACAACGATACCCAAATGCACTGTGCCGATCGCTACAGACCCCGAGATTTGCCTTTGGATCTCCATCGTGCAGTATTTTATTATACCGGCACAGAACACTAGCTGATATACCTAGGTACCCTTATGGTATCATTAACCACCAATTACCTATCAACTAGGTAGAGTGTTTTAATACCAAACAAACTACATATGTACTCCGTGTATTCCATCAAGAACACTAGTAACAATCGGGCTCGAATGTAAAAAAAGATCCCAGTCAGGCGGGATATAGCGGTGAGAGCTCCCCACAACAGCACTCAGCTGCCTCATCGACAGACTTGTGGATTCTTCGGCCTTTAGGTTGCCCTCTTGCATTCTGAACACTGAAATAATATTTACAAAACAACAAACAACTTACAGTATCAGAGGACTCGTGGGATTGACGAAAATAGCCGCTTTCAATACCAGAAACGCCTTTCTACCCGTGCACGCAAGCTGGATGTCTCGACTTACACCCAAGGGAAGACGCAATGAGGATCAAGTCTATCTTTGTTACTATTCAAGCCAAAGACAAAGCCTTTATTCCGGTTTGCCCGGTTAATCTATCCACCTCCCATCCGTCCGGGAATCCAATCAGTGGAGAATTCCCCAGTGGCTTGCGGCAGTGACGTGACGATCAACTCAAAAATTTATCAAACGGAGATGTCAATCTCAAGTGGATTAGACAGTGGATCAGACAATGGCCTACGAAACCAATCTTTCTCGGAATATGAATACTGCATTCCTGAATGGCGATATGAAACCTCGATGGAGCCTAGAACACCGCTCCTCGCCTCCTCGCAATCTCCCAGACACAACCCCAGATGACATTGATATTGAAAAGAATGGCTTCACTGGCATTCAAGAAACAAGCCCAGGTGGTCCTCATTTTGGACTCGCGCCCAGAAGAGGCTGAAATACCTTGGGGGTCTCTTCCACCTGATCTTCCGATTCTTGGGAAGGAACTATTCTGACACAAATAGCTGCATACGGTTAAAACTTGGATAGATATGTCTGACTCATACATCCCCCTGGCTGTATGCTGGGCCGATCAGCTTAAGGTCAACCCCAGTGGGGTCCTCCTCCCAGATCGCTCCTCGAGTGCATCCAACCAAGCCAACTACTCCACCATTCGTGCTGCCATTAACACCCAGTTATATAAACGATACCTGGCTTTAGCAACAACTCACAGTATCTCTCCAGAATGATATTGCGGCCATTGAAGCCGTACAAGAACACGCTCCATGACATATACACTGAGTCCAAAGAAGAAGCATTGTAAAGGAGGCTATGAGACGATGTATTAAGACACTAAACCTAGAATGGGAAACTAGCTCAAAAAAGCAACATTGGAAATTCACAGCCTCAGTTTACATACAATACCAACAAAAAAAAATTATATATATAGTATACAGATGTATCACACCACTCCACCCCAAAAATAGAACCAAAGAGCCCGATGCTCCAACTCAGCTATGTACCTAGCGTACATACATATATCCCCTACCCGTCTAGCTAGGGATCCCAACGCGACCACACATATACACGCATAATGTACATTTCACATACCAAGCAACAAGGGATCCCCCTGTATTAACGTCAAACCATAGCTAAGCATTAGCCAAGACGACGCAAGTCAGTGCTTGAGGCACGAGGTAGGTGCGTTATTTATCCGAGAATGCGGTCTGCGGTGTGACTACTGTATGCTGCACCTTGCTGTACGATTAGGTCTTGCGTGTACGATCTGGAGGTGTGGGTCAAGGTCCCAGCGATACAAAGTGCCGATGGCCGGTTTACCGAATACACAGTGTAAGGTGCATACATACATATGTAGGTAGATATGTATGTATGAGTGGGTGGATGCGTTTATGCGCCTTGCATACTTTGTATGTACCGGATACTGCCTGGCACTTGAGACCTTTCCCTTTCCATTTTAGTGCCCAGACCGTGCCGATTTGTCAGTAAAATTGAGCAGGGATGGAGCTAGATTGCTTCTGAGGTCATAGTTTCTGATCAGCCGGTGTATGTTTTATGTTTATGTTCATGTTCGTTGTTGTGTTACTTGTTTCTGTCTACTTCAATTCTCACCGCTTGTTTATTTCGCTTGTGTCACTGTACATGTCAGATTGAGGTATAATATGTGTATACGGAACATTACATATATGTAGTTATTGTATGGAGTACTCGATTACGTATCTACTGAGACAGTTCCCTTGTTGGGATCACATCATTACCTGACCATACTCCGTACAAGGATTCGAGTTCGGTTTTAGCTCACTGTTTGAACTAAGCATTTACCAAGCAAATCAATTGCCGGCCTTGCATACTCTCTAATTAATTAATTAAATTTATACTACCCCAGGCTGCATATTAGGCTGCGTCATCAAGCTCATAGTGCCATTAATCTGTTGCCTCGTTGCCTTTGGTTCTTTCCTCGTAGGGCTGTGGTGGGTCTGCAGATGGACAATCTACCGTCTTCATATATATATATCTTACCCAACATAAGAACTTATGTTTATAATAATGTTGAAAAATAGCTTTGTAATTTCAATAGACTATAGGCAAAAATTTTGCTTTTCTATTATAGAGAAAATAAGGGGAAATCCATATCATCCTACTGAAACAATGTATCAAAATGCCGAGGCTCATCTGGGGATTACAAGTGTGGGGCCCCTCACTCAAGATTCAGGTATTGCTACTCCAAAATGCCAGACTTGGACTATAATGAGCTTTGATATGAATCTGATCTTAATCCATATATCTCAGTACTACATAGGTCCAACCGGAGCCTATCACCTTGGTCAGCCTGAGGCTTAATGCTTAACTAATCCCAAAACTAACCCAAACCTTCGAAGGTGAACCTCACCAGGCAACCTTGGAAGTGATCAACCTCATCCCCATCATGGATATTTACGCACATCTCCGAACAAGCATAATGTCCTGGAAAAACGACACACCTCTTCCAACCGATGTACAAGCCGATCCAAAATTCCAATCTTGGCACCAATTCAACCCAAACTCCCAGCAGTGGAATCCAGTAAGCGCGAATGAAAACACAGAGCCACCACACACCACCGATGAAACCTCATCCGATCTAGTACTCTTGACATGGAACATCGACGCATTATCCGAGAAGACCCAAGAACGCGTCACAGAAATCCTCAAATTCATCACCGAACTAGATACCAACGTGGACATCATATTTCTCCAAGAAGTATCACAGCGCGCCTTGCGACTGATCTTGAGCCATGAACGTATCCGCGAATTGTGGTTCTCAAGCGAACACGAGAATACATCATGCAGGCACTCATTCACGACAATGACCTTGGTATCCAAGACTCGATTTGGATCACGACACAGCTCTGAGACCAGCAGGTTTGCTCTAGGACCTGTGTGGAGGGTTGCCTTTCCTAGTCACTTTGATAGAGATGTGCTCTTTTGTGATCTCTTCGTTCCTTCGTCTACAAGCCCTGCTTCTGCCACTCGAGTACGGCTTGCAAATGTTCATCTGGATTCTCTGCCTCTCAGACCTTCACATCGGCCCCGGCAACTCTCCATTGTCTCTTCATTCCTGCGGAGTGCGGGATGTGGGCTGGTTGCTGGTGATTTCAATCCGGTTCTGGATGAAGATGCTGCACTTGTAGAGACAAATGGTCTTACGGATGTCTGGATGGTGCTTCGTCCTGAAGAACCGGGATATACGTGGGGAACGGATGGGAAGCAGCGGTTTCCGCCGAATCGGATGGATAAGATCGCAATGCTTGGTCTCAAGGCGCGTGGGATTGAAATCCTCGAGGCTCGGCGAGTGGGGGAGGTGGAGGGACAACAGGACGCTCAAAGTGACGCGAATATACCCGACACCGAGCAGACTGGGCCTACAGCCGCACTCTGGAGCGATCACCATGGTTTGCTTTGCTCTTTTGGACTTGGAAAGTGAATGGTCATATTCGCACTATCACGATCGGATGGAATTTGGCATTTCATGTCATGTCTTTTTCCTGGTACTATCCGGCTGTCCCCCTCCTATCATTAGTCTACCTTTACCCAAAAATGAAAGCAAGAATAGGAACAGAAGCATTAACTAAAATACGAGAACTTTCTCAGAATCAATGAAACGGACTTTATTCTCTATAAAGGAAAACCACGGCACGCAGTACCTATATCAAACAAAACGAAAGATGCAAATGTGCCCAAGGGAAATGTATGCCACTATTCAAAATGCAATGCATAAGTGCCTGCGAAGAGTACCCAAAAATGAGAATCAAAAATAGCAAGCCCAATAGAGTCAGTAGTCTAAGAGGTATCGAGGGCGAACCAATTCCAGATCCATATCCAAATTCAAATATTCAAACCATTTCGTCGTAGAGGCCACACATATATGGATTCCAATGGCCCATAGATGTGAAAAAAAAAGCCACAACCAAAAATGATATATGGTAGCAGCCAATCGCTTGAAGAGCAGGTGGCGATGGATAGGCGGGGTTCACATTTACACAGCTTTTTGTACTTTTATACCATGTTTAACGGTACTTGTCCATGAACTCGGAGTGGAACTTGACGATGCGCTCAACCCAGTCGGTGCCAGGGGCGAGGAAGGTTGTGCGGAAGTGGAAACTGTTCTCCTTCTGACCGAAGCCGGAGCCAGGGACGACGCAGACACCGGTGGCGTCCAGCAGAGCCAAGCAGTAGAACTCATCGGCAGCGCGGCCCTCGGCGGTGGCGGCTTCGACGGCCTTAGCGGGGAGGTTGATAGTGGGGAAGAGGTACATGGCACCCTGTTGAGATTATTAGTAAATGTTGTAACACTTTGTATGAATCTATAACACGTACCTGGGGCTCCTGGAGCTCAACACCCTCCATACGCTGGAAGGCGTTGAACAAGGAAAGGGCACGCTTGTGCAGACCCTCCGAGATAGCGGTGTACTCCTTGTTGTAGAGCTCGAAGCTAGGATCGCCCTTGAGGGGAGGGTTGACCATGCACTCGAGCAGACACTGTGCGACGACCGGCGGGCACAGGCCAATGCTGACGAGCTTGTAGATCTGCTCCTGGACCAAGGGGTCGAAGCCAGCAAGCTCGAAGTAGCCACCACGGTGGCCGCACTCACCAACCATACCCTTGGAGATACTGTGCAACGAGACCAGCTCGACGTCATCGTATTTGCCGGGCTGCTCCTCCTGGAGCTGGCGGAGGCGCTTCTTGAAGGAGACGAACTCGCCCTTGAAAACGTTGGTTTGGTACACTTCATCAGCGATAACCACCAAGTTCTCCTCGGCGGCGACATCAATGACCTTCTTGATGTCGTCAGCGCTCAGGGAGGCACCGGTTGGGTTACCGGGGTTGATCACGACAATGGCGCGCACATCGGTTCCGGCGGCCTTGGCATCCTCAATGGACTTGAGGATCGCGTTGACGTTAGTACCCCACGCCTTCTCCTCCTCGAGGAGGTAAGGAACGCAGCGGGCATTCAGCAGCGTCAAGCTTGCGGTGTAGAGAGGGTACTGAGGGATGGGGACGAGAACACCGGCACTGGGATCGTTGCAGAGGACGTTCAAGATGGTGCTCACACCCGACGAGGCACCGCTGGTCAGGAACAGGTCATTAGGGTTGGCAGGGAAGCCATCACGCTTCTCAATGAACTTGGCGACGCTGTCCCGGATACCTGGTGCACCCTGGCTGTGACTGTAGGCACCAACGCTCTGCACATTGGCCAAAAGAGTCTGGGCCCGGTCGATCACATCCTGCTTGTATCCAAATGACTGCTTGAGGACCTCGGTGTTTTCCAACAACAGGGGGTTCTCAACAAGACTGAGGACCTGGCGGAAGAAGGTGATGGGCTTTTGATCGAGCTGTTGGGGGTTACCGATGTTGGCGAAGATGACGCTTTCAAAGGGGAGGGACTTGTCGCCATCAATCAAACGCTGACGGTAGGTCTCGGCCTTGACGGCCAATTCACCGCGCACGGCGTACTTGGCATCTCTAACATGCTGGTTGATGTTGTTGACGTTGAGGCATTTGCGGGTCTGGACGGCCGACAAGGTGCGCTTGGTGGTATATGAGACGGCGGTTTGAGTCATGATGGGCTCTGGATTAACCCAAAGGAGATTAGTGAGGTTCAGAATGGGTAGACTAGTATGCCCAAAACTGGGAGGAGAATCAAAGTATATAAAGGCCGGAGTCGTTATCGCAACCAGAAATGAGGCGATATGGAAGTAATAACAGCGGCTAGTAATAAGCAGAATTCCCAGAATTCCCACCGAAACATTGCGCCCCGAAACTATGTAAGCCGGGGTGATACCCGTTGGTATCCCACGTACCTGATCGAGCGGAGAGACACCCCGCAGCGCCACGTGCGGCCGGGCGATATAGGAGGCCATTTGACCGGCTAGTCAGCGCCCTAAGCGGAGAAGCCCGCGCGCTGGATGTGAGCTTATATTGCCAGGACATTTTTGACGAATGATCAATCCGGGATCAGATTAATTTTTTAAAAAAGTCCTTTTGGCGCGCGAACCCCTGTCGTGATTGTCTGCGATCGGGAGAAGAAGGGGAAAAAAAATTGGCCTTGGTCATTGGGCGGTGAACCTGTGAGTCAGCATTTTCCCCACAACCCGTCCACCCGTCCACTTGAAGCCGAGTGGACGCCGATTACCCGCGATAAGCTTGAGATAAATTCAAGATAATCAAGGAGATTGGAGATTGGGGATGTGACTATAAGATTTGGTGATGAGAACTACAGCGTATACACACCTTGGTGGATAACAGAATCAGCGACGATCATTCTCCGAGGGAAAGTTAGACGGTTGCCCGATGTCGACCTCGACCCATTTTCCGGAGCCGCCCGATGCGGGGATTAAAGAATATGGAGACTTTTAGTCAAGGACGGGATCGTTCATGCATGTGTGGCATGTTATAGAATATACGGGGTCAACTCTGGGGTGAAGAACACGGGGTAATATTGTCCATTTAGGCTAAATATTTGATCATAAGTTGTGGGTTTGAGACCGAGAATGACCCTTATCATGCATGGGTGGCATGCTATAGAATCTACAAGGCCAATTTCTGGGGTTAAGGACACGGGGTAAGTTAGGGAGAAATCGTCTTATGCATGGTGGCATGTTATAGGATCTACGGGCTCAATCCTGAGGTTGAGAGGTAAGTGGGATTGTCCATTCAGGCATACATAGTTGATCATAGGTTGTGGTTTTGAGGCCTAAAATGCCTCTAAAGTCATAGATATACCACTTTAGCTTCGCTCACTTCCCCGAAGACGCACGGCTTGGCCGTACTTCTGGATCTTGGTGATCAGAGAGTCACCATGCTTCACAACATCGGCATACTGCTTGTTCTTGTCATCTGGCCGATTCGTCTCGATGATACCATTGACACGATCGATGGTGCACGCAATGCGGTTGTTTGAAATGAATTTAGCAAGGTCCCTGTGGTTATGGTCAGCAAATGAGGGAATATTCGAAGAGATCCAGACAGCACATACCGGTCCAAGTAGTCTACTGTCACACCGAAGTCGTTGGCCATGCCACTCAGCCCCACCACACGGTAACTCTGCAGAAGCTGCTGGTAGGCGCGCAGTCGCATCTCACGAACAAACCAAGCCCGGTGCTCATGCAGATACCGGTCTTGTGTCAGGAACTGGTCCTCAACGGCGGCGAGTGCCACAAAGAATGAGCGGTAGTTGCCGTTGTAGAGACTGGTAACCAGGTTTGCGAGCGGTGCGAAATCAACGGGCGCTTCAGCCTCTACTGCCACACCGGAGCCGGTTGAGAAAGAGGAGATGTTGACAGCGGTCTTAGCACCGGCGGGTGTGGGTAGTGACGCCGTTGCATCCTTCATCTCCTCATCCCGGGCACCAGGGCCCGAAGAGATTTCCCCACTCAGAGCAGCCAATTGGTCTTCCCCAGAGCCAAGGATAGCCTTGATCTCCGGTGCATCCACTACCTTCGCCTTGAAGTCCACGCGCTTGAGTGACAAAGATCCCGCAAGCACGGAGTAAATCACCAGCGAAGAATAGCTGCAAAGTTCGTAGCTTGTGAAGGTAGATAGACTGTCGAGAAGGAGAGGAGCGGCAAGGCTGTAAGAGCGAATAGTGAGCAGATGCAAACCCTTGTATGCCTTGAGACGGTTTCTACGGTCCCAGTCTCCACCACTCTCTACCAAGGTCTCTGCTCGTTCAATGGTCTTGTTCACAAACAAAAGGTCGCCGAAGAATAGTCCGATGCGGAGCATAGCCATCACGAGATCGATCTTGGTACCCAGGAATCCGGTCTTTTCGAGGAGAGCTTCGTGGGATTCGATGGCTTTGTCCTAGTGGAAATACTGGTGTCAGCTAGAAGCTTGAGAAAACATAGACGAGCGATTCTCACCTTATCTCCCACGCGAGCCCAGAACTCAGCTCGCTTCCCGCGCGCAGCTTGTACCTCAGTCTCCCCAGCAGCCTCTTCCGCCTCATCTTCCTCCTTCTGGAAGGTCTCCAGTTCTTTCTTGTTATCCTCCAGTAGAGACTGGTAGAGCTTCTCATCCCAAGGGAAATCAAAATTCAACGGTGTTTTGCGAGAGGCAAGAAGATTGGAAGTGATGAGAGGCTTCGTTGAGTTCCCCCCATTTTGTGGGTGCTGTGTTACGCCTTCGCCGGAGTTGTTCAAGATACCTTCGGTGGGATGGGCTAGATGCCGGTAGAAGGGAGCCATCTTGTGCTCCAAGATGACCTCTTGGAGCTTCTTCAATGAGCTCTGTTGGACGGCTGACGCGCATGCTGGGTTGGAGAGATTGAAGACATGTTGGGCGATGGAGAGGTTGGGGAACTTGATGTACTGCGGATCAGACCCCATGGTGACGATGGGGAACTGGTAATGCGGACAGGACTGGTACGATTAAGAAAACGATGCAATAGAGGAGAGAGAAGATGGAAGCTGGTGATGTCTGGGGATGAGATCAAGCCAGGTGCATCACCGTAGACCGAGCTCAGCTGGCGGAATGTTTTTCCGTGCCGAGCCTTCTTTGGCCTTCTCCCTTCGAACGTCAAGATAAAATCTATCTGATACGAGATGTCGGTCGCATCTAGGTTTAAAACATATTTGTTTCTTTTGTTTCTTTGTGGGAAATAAACATTTCTCCCTCTTTATCTCGCTCTTGAAAGATATATACATGTTTGCAATATATCTGGCTTGTCTACTCCAAGTTATATATGTAGTAATCATAATCACACTGGATCTAGGTCCACACTAAGGATGATTTTACAACATAGAAATTCCATGTGTTGGCTTGAGAAAACACTTTTATAAATCAATTGCAATGACATGTAACTATGTATATTACAGTCAAGACTCAAGCCCGAGGGTTGACCTGAGTATGGAGTACTCTCCGTAGTGATATTCCGTCATATAACATAGGGCTGACTTGTTAACTTTATGGGCTTTATAAAAGACCTGGAAACCGTTGCGTAGCATTTGCCTCAAAAGCACATAAAGTTTAGATATTATGTGTCAAACTTGCCCGTTTTCACTGTCCTAGTTCGGTTACTCTTGATCCTTCCAAAATGGTTTTTTCATTTGTACTCCATACACTATTCCATAAACAGGCAGGTACTGCCAGCCTCTAAGACCAACGGGGAAATACCGATGCACGTGCGTATCTTATAGGGATATGCGCTCCCTCTATCAAACCACCTAGGCATATCTTGCTAAGACACCTGGAATCGATTTCCACATTGGATTTGATCGGGAAGCCGCGTGTTCACTATTTGGACACCGATATCAAGCCATTTTCATGGAAGTTTCGGAGTGACCGAGTCCATGCAAGAGTGCAACCTACCCCGACCGACCTATCTAGATAGACACACACCATTGGTTAGATACTGGCACTTGATATTTCTGGGGTGTATCATTGGCCTACAAAATGTATTCGGCGGGCATTCTCAAAAGCTAAATGCTTAGAATAATCAAGCTTGGGGGCCGCGGTCCCACTAAGTTCCGATACTTGGCCAAACACAGTTCTTTACCACTCTATATGATAGGCACTAGGTACTTTTTCCCCATGCGACTTAGAGTGATGCTATTCCCGCAGTTTCTTTTTTTTACTTCTTTTTCTCTTTTTTTTCTTTTTTAATTGTCAACTGTTTCCCCCATGGGTCTTATTTATCTTTCCTCTCTGCTTCATTTCTCTTTTTCCTTCTCTGTTCGCAGAGACACCTCTAGTTGCTCAACGTGACCTTTGTTATTGTGGTCGCGTGACACAGTAACCCTTGTTGGTCTCGTGCTAGTTCTACTATCCCTTTGACCTCTAGGAGGCTCAATCTCACCGCGTGATTAAACACTGCCAAATTTCTTCTTGTTACGATCGAAATGGCCGAACCTCAGTCCTACTCCAAGGAGATGTCCGAGAAGGGTGTTGGTCCCCTCGAGGAGAACCCTGTCGAGCTATCGCCTCTCGAAAAGACGACCAAGGGTCGCTGGGAACGTAGCTGGCCCACTATTGCCTGTGGTGCCGGTCTCTTTTCTGATGGCTACTTGAACCAGGTATGTTGTGTTTCGTCCTCGTGTGCGCAGCCCCGCAGCTACAATGCGCCACACGGGTGTGCAGCTTGGCGAATGTTTATTTAATCTTTACTGACAACCTTGGATCTAGGTCATTGGTCCTGTCGGTACCATGCTGACACAGATCTACGGAGATGCATACACCAACTCGACAGCCCAACAGAATGTGTCTTCGATTGTTTTTGCCGGCACCGTGGTCGGTATGTTGATATTCGGATACACTAGTGATCACTGGTCACGTAAGTGGTCTTTGATGATCTCCACTATTATCCTGTTTGTCTTTGCAGCCCTCGGTGCTGGATCCTACGGAGCTGGCGGCAGCCTGGGTGGTATGCTTGCTGCTTTGACGGCTTACCGTTTCTTCCTGGGAATTGGCATTGGTGGAGAATACCCTGCTGGGTCAGTCGGCGCCGCCGAGAATACTGGAGAGCTCAAGAGCGGTCATCGCAATCGCTGGTTTATCATGTTCACCAACTTCCAGATCGATTTCGGTTTCGTGGTTGCTGCTTTAGTGTCCATGATTCTCGTCTTGATCTTCACCGAGGATCACCTGCACGCTTGCTGGCGTGTGGCTCTGGGGCTGGGAGTAATCCCCCTCTGAGTTTGATGTATCTCCGACTGAAGATGGATGAGCCTGAGGAGTTCAACCGGGAGCGCATGCACAAGTTCCCGATCTTGCTAATTATCAAGTAAGTACGATCTTTCCCAGTGCGCGGACTTGTTGGCTAACGAATTTTAGATTCTACTGGAAGCGCTTGGTAAGGAACCCTGTCTGCATGTTGCTCTTATGGGCTGAACTGACTAACTGACTGGGTGTGATGTATAGGCTGTTGTTTCTATCATCTGGTTCCTTTACGACTTCTCCGCCTATAGTTTCGGTATCTATTCTTCGGCCTGGCTAAATATCATCCTAGGTGACACGGCTCCCTTGTGGAAGAGCTTTGGCTGGACTACCGTAGTCAATTCTTTCTACATTCCAGGTTCTGCCCTTGGAGCCTTCATGAGTGACTGGATTGGCCCTCGTTACACCCTTGCCATTGGCGTTGGACTCCAGGGTGTCATCGGGTTCATCATGGCCGGATGCTACAAGTGGCTTGCCACCTCAGAGAATGTGGCAGCCTTTGTCGTCGTGTTCGGGTAAGTTTACTGAATTCTTAGACTAGCAATTGCCAATACTAATATCTTGACAGAATCTTCTCTGCTCTCGGTGAAATGGGACCGGGCGATAATATCGGTCTCTGCGCCGCCAAGACCAGCGCTACTGCTATCCGTGGTCAATACTACTCATATGCTGCCGCTATCGGGAAGATCGGAGCTTTCGTGGGCACCTACGTGATTCCAGTCATCCAAAAGAATGCACCCAACCCGATCCGCGCAGGCCAGGACCCATTCTTCGTTTCCAGCTCACTGTGCATCTTGGCCGCATTCATGGCTATTTTCATGATGCCGCAAATCGACCAGGTACGAACTGCTGCAGACAGGGTAATTTGTTCATGTGCTCACCTTTTTCTTAGGACACCATTACCCTCGAGGATGCCAGGTTCCGCGACTACCTCGAGGCTAACGGTTACGATACCACACAAATGGGCAGCAATAACTACCAGAGCGACACTCGCGACCAAGAGTAATTCGATCACAGCCCTACTGCGCCAGACACATACTTGCTCACCCCTTTGGGCTGTTGTGTTCCAACCAACCTTACTTAATTACACGGACTTCATCCATACGCGGCAATGCACATTCAGTAAAACCAACGAGAAGATACCATTCATGAGACAGCGACTACCCGGCCCTTGCGACTTGAGATATCCCATCCCCTGCCCCTGCCCCTGCGACATGACCCATGAACGTATGAAAGGATTGCGGGCATCCTCTATTTGATCTGCTGGTGATGAATTTGGCGGGATGGAAACTGAACTCCTGACTTGTATTGACAGTCAATTTAATTCAAGTGGGAACTTCGATGTCATCCATGTACATACATAATCAGACAAATACATCCTGGAAATCGCCCACTACTCACTCAGTCCTCGCACTTACGGCGGTCCATACTCTAACCCCGTAAAACAAATTGCAGCCATCTTGAGACTGCCTCTTTGGTATTGTCGTGTCTTTGCATATACCTGTGAATATACTTGGGATATCGCTAAATGATGTCTGGTCCAGGACTTCTACACTATATCGCATCAAGGAGGTCTGCTGGGAGAATTATAAATACGGTCTTCGGCAGAGCACGTGAAAAGGAATTCATTTGCTTGGCTTAAGACGGGATCTTGCAACCCGTGAGTATACCTAGGTAGAGCTAACGAGAGTGCTCGATTCCATGTTGATGCTATTCATTGGGAATATTGTTGACGGTGTACTCGGATGAAATTGGAACTAGATTGACTTTGTATGTAAGGCCCGAGAAAATAATGCTGAGCAATACCGAGCATAAAAAGGGTATAAAAAGAGATTATATCGAAGACGCAATGTCGGAAAGAATGTCATGACGCAGACTCACGTGAAAAACAGAGGAAAGTAGTAAGCCGAGTGGATAAAACAGTCGTGGAGATGAAAATCAAGCATTTCAAGGGATTTCAAACAATTTCACCCGAATAAGGCTTTAAAAATCACAAATGTTGTAATAATCGTAAATACAATTACATTGTACCCTCCGGATCTCTCCCCACACGCACGAGATCAGCCGAGGTCGGTCTTCCGGCTCCATACGCCGGTCAATTACCGACTCCCTTTTCCCTTGTGAACCATCACATTTGACTCTTGACATCCTCCATCCTTAGGTGTCCGAAGTTGCATTTTCTTCATCTTCATTGACAACAGCCAAAAAAAAATGGTCGCTAACAACCTCATCTACCACCCTGCGCTGGCGCACTGGCTACGCTTCGTCGCGACAACCGGTACGTGACACATCCCCAGAGTCCAAAGAAGCAACATCCTGGCACTTCCATCCCTACAAACACACACAAAACTCCTATTTCACATCGCGACCACACCAAACCCCCCAAACCAAACCCCCCTATCTGTCGGGGAACTCGGCCGAGAAGCCCAGCGGAGCTATATCCGAACACTCAAGCTAACTATGCACGCAACCTATAGTCGGCCGCGATAAGCTCCTCCGCACAATCCAATATTTCTCCCGATTCTACGCGTGGTACCTATACCGGACGAACAAGCCGCAGTCGGCGATCGACCCGTACAATGCCGTGAAGAAGCAGTTCGGCACGACCCGCAAGATTATGCGTATCGGCAAATTCCTTGAGCATCTCAAGGCCGCCGCCGTCGCTTTCGATAACAAGAGTCCCGTCGACCCCGTCCTGCGCTACCTGGCTATCGGTCGCCAGCTCGGTTATGCCGGATACCTGACTCTCGACGCTATCACAGTCATCGATGTCATCGGAATTCGGAAACTGTCTTCCGCTAAGCAGCTGCAGCAGTCCGCTTACCGCTCCTGGGCTGCGGGTCTGATTTTCAGTACTGTGGCTGGTGTTTACACTCTTGTTCGTCTCCAGGAGAAGGAGAAGACTATTGACCGTAAGGAGGGTGAGGGTGTTGTCGAGGCTAAGAAGATTGAGAAGTATGGGTTCCCTACTTATTACCCGAATGAGGAAATGGATGGCATGCTGATAATTTTTTACTAGGGAGCGCTCTGCTGCTCGGATACAACTCCTCTCTGATGTTTGTGATCTGGCTGCGCCTTTGACTGCTATTGGTGTCCTTAACCTCGACGATGGCCTCGTCGGTATCACAGGTACCGTCAGCAGTTTGATCGGTGTTTGGTCCCAGTGGCGCAAGACCGCCGTACCTGTCTAAGCGGTGTATGTATACTTTGTCCATGATGAAGTGGGAGGTTGGTGACCCGCTCCTTGGATGATTTGGGGTCCTGGGTCCTGCTGCTGACTCGGGAATGGGGAGACAACAAGACGAGGTGGTATTCTTATTGCGCACTCTATATCCTGATGATTGTTTCTCTCGCCTGTGAACAGTCTTCTATCCTTTTTTTATCATTCTAAGGAAATGTCCTCACGTCGTTTCTTTTGTTTACGTACATAACAATCGCACTTGGTTTCAGATAGATTTGTATTCGTTCTCTTCGTTGTCATCATATCATTGCTATCTATGGACATATCGATATCCAAGTACTGCCCTGGCTCATCCTCGCGCCCTCTCTACTCCACAAACAGTTCCAACTCCGATTCCCTTCACCCAAAACGCTCGAGGGGTGCTTTAAACGGGGCAGGTCTAGGATGGTAAGTATAGGCTGACACAAAAGTACTGCAGAATCAACATACAGCACCACAGGCGCCACAGCTCTTGCCAGTGCCGGTTGAGGCGACACCACACTTGGGGCAGGCAGCGTGTCCGTTCATTGTTGATGATAGATGAAGTAGATCTGATAAAGCGTTAGCAACCACCAAGGTCCTCATAAGATACAAAATAAGACACAACCCTTGCATACCTTTGATCTAAGTAATTTATTTAAGAAATGATTATTCGAAGATGTGGGAGAAATGAAGTAAACCTCGTTGGGCGAGAAAATTGCTGACTTTTCTACCCCGCCTGACTGGTGCCCCGCTCAGGGCCATTTTATTGTAGCACATGATTTGATGGCCTTCACTTGTTAGACGCTTATATAGATAGGTTAACGCGGTAAAAGAAATCATTTACACCGAACTTGAAGAGTGGCCGAACTTCGTATTAGTGTGTTTACTAACAAAAATATACAGCAATAGGTAGGGTCATATAGCGCATATCAAAACTGGACACCTGCGCCCTCGACAAAAGAAAAAAAGGGTTTAAAGCAAATAAAACGGAGAAAAAATTTTGTAGCATTAGTATCGATCTCGAACTCTATGTCATTGATGTGAGCTTCAGGCAGGATAGAACAAGACTACATTGGCGATTCGACGAGAAGTGATGGGACGGGTAGCGAGAAGCAAGAATCACCAGGGACGAGTTGGTTCGCCCAGTGACAATTTCCGCGCCGTTCTGTGAAACATTGGAATGGCAGTGCAATGGGGAAAGCGTCGGAGCCTGCCAGGCAATAGTGGCAGGGGATACTTGATCAACTTCGCCCATCGTTTCCCTCTTCTTTCGGCTGCTCCAGCTCAGCAGCTACAGCGCCTTGCTTCCGAGACTTGTACCACCCGACATCCGCCTCGATATGATTTGATGTCTACAACTCTCGGCATCTCAGAGTAGAGTCCAATGTCCAGCCATGCTTCACTAGGATTTGATCCCTAACCTCGCTCATAACGTCGATTTGCTGCATGAATGTCCACATCAAGAATTGGAGCTGGTGGAGTGAGTGAGGTTCTTTTTCTGGCTTGCTCCAAATCTCCGGTAGGGGAGTCTTTGTGAAATTTGGTGACACTGTTCGTCAGTTGAAGGGCCTTCTGATGTCGTTCGGCCATCTCACTCTCTTGGAAGTCAACGTCACGGAACAGCCACAATTGGTAGTCATTGTTGATAGTCATTGTTCTTGCCGAGTGATTTACACTGCTATCTGGTATAGCTCCTTTCCTTAAGTGGGAACTGACATTTGGCCAGGCAGAATCATCCCCATATCCCAGTTTTGTCGCCTCCATTCGAAAATGCCTGGTGGCCTTCACAGATGTCAGACCCTTCAGAGAAATATGCTCTTTGAATAATCCGGGTTTCCCTTCGCATCGGCCGCTCATTTACTGCGTTGTTTCTCAGGTTTGTTGGTTTTGCCAACTTCGTCGTTTCTCCGTGGCAAAGTCCGGTATGGCTTGTCAATTTAAACCTAACGCATTAGACTTGCCGTGAACGGTCTTGAGATGCTGGAGTCTTTTCGTATCTTCCTTTTTTAACCCATTCATGAGGAAAACCACAAGGTATGGGTAATATCGTCTCTTTGATGGTTCAAGCTGCTTTGAAAACCATGGTTGATCTGAATTTTAAAGGAGCTCTGTCGTGCCCTTCGGGCACGCATCCTTGCTATATTAGCACAGATATCGCGCAAGTACATCCGAGTCATGACTGTTGGGACCGGCCATGGAGAATACTGAATTGCACCAATCTGAAATCTTCAAGCAGTTGGCTGAGATAAATCAGGCATAGGTTCATGCCTGGGTGCCCCGAGCTGGGTACCTCGTTGGTGGCACTCTTTCTAGCTAGCCTAAGTGATGTCCGAAAAGTTCGGCCTGACCGACTAGGTCACATCTTTTTGCAAAACCAAGCTGTAATAGAGTATGGCTCCGTTCACGATGGTAGGGCAATCGCCAGTCTCCTGCTCTAGAATCTGGGCACCGACACCAAGAATCACCTGGGCCGGTGGGTCCAAGCATATGACCAAGCTGAGGATAAATACAGCGTTTGGCATGCCGGCTTGACTTGATCGGGCTCGAAAGCCACGGGATTCTCCATCCGGAGCAAGTAGCTCAATACCAACGCATTGGTATGGTTTTGTTGAGCTGGGGCCAGCTGTTGTTCACTAAGGGGCAAAGCCATCGGGCGTTGGGAGTTCCCCAGTGGCTAGCCTGCCGAAAACATACAGACTCGCAGACTTTGTGCATGCGATTCCCTCCTGGCAATTCTTCCCGTCGTACGTCTCGGCATAACACTTGACGACGAAGGGCTGAACGCGCCCGAATTGCCCTCGATCCATTCTTTGACCGTGACCCGTAGACACGTTATACACCATATCTGTTTTGGTCAGCGTATAGACAGATGTCTTCTTCGGATTTGCGGGATGAGGATTATAGCTCCATGTTTCATCGATGAAAGAAGGGGGAGAGAGGTCCTTTTCTCGATGTCAAAAAGGGGTATAAGGAACAAAATATGAAGAGGATGTAAGGCAAGAAAGTGAGAGAGTGATATATGAAACAGGGGGATAAAGATCAATAGGTAAAGGTGGTAGAAGAAATTCCTGAGGGAAGTGTGAGGGGTGAGACGTTCGGCTTTTATTCACCCTGGTATTATGTTAATTATGTTAATTATAGGGGATTGGTACAGGGACACCCCCCACCTGTAATCGGACACCCCCTTCAGTAATCCGACACCCCTTTCAGTAATGGGACACCCCTCTGCCTGAAGATCCAGGCATTAAACATACCGCCTTCTACACCGCCTTAGTGTCAAACCACCCATATAATACTAGCCAGACGGCAGGTACCTACAATTTGTATGTAAACCCCTAACAAAATTAAGTCACTTTTGTCATATTGTACTTTATATAATTATGTAGTCGGGATCAAACAAATTGATACTCCAATTCTGGTTTACATACATTAACCTACCTTCTTCATACCCATTTTTTCATCACTTTCTTCGTCAATTCTATCTCCAAATTCATCAAATTCAACCGTCAATATGGCCTCCCTAGGCCTGGAATATCTGGAATCGGATCCAGATTCCGACCCAGAGATTGTTCCCGAGTCCCCACTTGCTACGCCAATCACCGAGTCTCGATCTCCTGCTGCGCCAATCACCGAGTCCCCACTTGCTATGCCAACACTAAGCTTTACGTTCCCCCTTTCCGCCGACAGATCGGACATACCATACACCAGAGGAAGGGGTCGAAGCTATCAATTCCTTCGCACGTCCCCATGGCTATGCCGTCACAACACGACGTTCAAAGTTTACACAGAAGGGCAAGGGTATCAAGAAAACTGTCTTCCTTTGCTGTGACCGAGGTCGAAAGGTTACAGAACAGCCCGAGGATCCCCCCAAGCGAAACGGCGGAATACTAGTACACTTGCACTTGGGTGCCCCTTTATGATCGTGCTTCGTCTTGATCTCCAGAGTGGTATTTGGCATACAACAGTGAGCAATTCCACACATAACCATGAACCCTCGCCGCCGTCAACCCACCCTGCTCAGCGGGCCCTCGAGCTCACACATAAGAAAGATAAGGTTGAGAACGCACTTCGTTAAGGCCGTATAACCCGTCAAATTCTTACTGAGCTACGTGAGGCTGATCCCGAGAGTACTATTATTGCCCAAGATATCTATAACACCCGTAAGAAGCTAAATCAGCTTTTCCTAGCTGGCCGAATACCTATCCAAGCTCTTTTACAAGAACTTCCAAAGGACGGAGATTGGATCTTCAAATATAAAATTGACGATCAATACTATATCTCTGCTTTATTCTGTGTGCATAAATCCAGTGTCAAAATGCTACAAATAAACCTATAGGTTATCTCTATAGATTGTATATATAAGACTAATCAATATGGTCTTCCTTTGCTTGATATTGTGGGATTTGCTGCGACAGGATCAACTTTCCATACTAGCTTTGCCTTTATACGTGATGAGAAGGAGGATACATATAAAGTTATGCTTAGCTGCCTTGCTAAAGTATACCAGTCCCTTAGTCTTAATCCTCCTTACCCCCATACAATCCTTACGGATAAAGAGAAAGCGCTTATTACTGCTATTGAGAGCGTTTTCCCAGAGACAAAGTATATGCTCTGTATCTGGTATATCAATATAAGGATTATAAAGGTTGCTCGTCCCCTTCTAGCCGATCAAGTCGCATAAGCCCGCCGTGATCGCAATTAGTCTACTGAGGCCCAGTCTACCCAGTCTACCCAGTCTACCCAGTCTACCCAGTCTTCTCAGCGTCAAAACAAAGCCCAACAAGCTAAAGAAGACCGCGAAAAAGTCGAGGAGGGGTAGAAGAAGATACTTAAAAGATGGGGCCGTATTATTTACGCGATAACAATAGAGGAATACTATCGTCAATAGGCAGATTTTAAAGAACAGTACAATGATCCCCTTTTCCAGCCTTTGGTCGAGTATATACAAAAGGAATGGCTTGATGACTGCCCCGAGCGCTTTCTCTATATTTATACCTCCCAGTACCTTCATCTTAATGAAATTGCGACTTCTCGTGCTGAAGGTGCTCATTGGCTTCTTAAGCTTGGTCTCCAGGTATCAAATAACGATTTACTAGTTGTACTTCGCAGTTTTAATCGCTCAGTCAACCTCCAATTTACCAAGCTCAAGAATGGAATTGACAGTCAGAAGATTCGGAGGCCAAGAAAGTAAGTTCCGCTACTTTACCGCCTTCTCACTAATCGGATCTCATTACGGGCGATTAAACTTACAAAGGAGGTATACGAGAGATATCTACCAGAGGGAGGAGAGGGGAAACGACCAATTTACCCTATCTATGACTGCAATTCGAAGAATACCTCTGGATTTCCGTGCATTTATATTATTAAGGAGTATGAGAACGAGAAGAAGTCCCTAGAACTAGGCCTTTTCCATCAACATTGGCACTTATATAGTGTTAATGACGCTCCTCCAATTGACCCCTCGCTTCTTATACAAGATCCCCTTCGTGCTTGTCGACGAGGACGACCCCGAGGTGCGAGGAATTTACCAACTACCCAGACCGAGAATACCCAGTCTTCCCCCGATCCATTAACACGAGAGAGCTCCTCTATCCACCGAGACCCATCATCATGGGAATCAAGCCGAGGTCGGGTACGTGGTACAGGACGAGGACGAGGACGAGGACGCGGACGCGGTCGAGGACAGGGCAGTAGTGAGACCGGGAGTAGTGAGACCGGCAGTGGTGAAACTGGCAATAGTGAAGCTAGCAGTGGTGATCGAGGATATGGCCGAGGACGAAAACGCGCGCGTGGAGGTATCTAAAACGAAACATATGCAATTTGTAGAGTAGATCAATACAGAAACCAATGAAATGTACGATTTTTTCTGATCAAAATGGAGTGTTTTTTTACTATGTAAACCAGAATTATATGGGGGTGGCAGAATATATGGCAGAAATATATGGCAGAATCCAGTGTCGCACCCGATTGAGAAGGCGGTATGTTTAATGCCTGGATCTTCAGGCAGAGGGGTGTCCCATTACTGAAAGGGGTGTCGGATTACTGAAGGGGGTGTCCGATTACAGGTGGGGGGTGTCCCTGTACCAATCCCCTAATTATATGTATAAGTTACATATGAAAAAGTCATACACATTTCACACCTTTTTCATGGCCTATATTCTATATTTAGCTGGTTATTCTTATCCTTCTAGATATAACAGCCAATAAGGGGGAAATATCTTGAAAAAAGACACTGGGGTACTTTTCCGAGAAGACCCCAAGAAAGAGCCCAGGAAAGACATCTCAAAAGACCTCTTTTTTGAGGTCTACGTGACAAGGCTATATACAAGCAAGGTTGTATCGTCTTTTCCTCATCAGGTCGCTTTCCCCTTCTTTTCCCTCTCTCTATCCTCGCCTCACTTTCAATTCAAAAGAACTCATACCCCGTTATTGCCTCCACATCACCTTGCCGGCCTCCCTAGACGAGAGGCAGTGCTCAAAGACCTACTACTAGATCCATTTTTGACCAAGGTAGCTAGACGAGCAAAAGGAAATACGCCACTACTGACTGATTCTGTTTGTCAAAGTGCTCATATACTCCGTCACCATGGCCTCCACATTATCCCCTCGCCAGCCTCTTGTCCAGAGTAGTCATGCCCGCCAACCCGATAAGCTACCTTCAATTTTCATATCCTCAACGGTCCCCATCGTCCATGAAAACAAAAACATGATGCCAAATCACCTAGGGCGGATCTGCTGGTGTTAGCATCCTTTGTGGCCTGAGATCCATATATTATGTGTGCACATCTACACATCTACAACATACACTGATCTTGGAAGCCATGTGAGCCCGTGGAATGTGGCAGCATAGAGGGTGCCGCGTGGATACGTTAAATATTATTATTATACTAATCTAGTATTTATACCAGGTGCCTTCAGAGCACCGAAATTACCTCAATTCATCTTCCACATCGCTTTCAACTGGTTAACAGCATCCCCATACATCCTCTCACGCACTTGGTTCCCCTTCCAAAAAGAGGGCTTTTTATCAAACCCATGAGCAACATCCTCAACCACAAACCCACCTACACTCGCCATCTTCCCTTCTTCAACAAACCCCCGAAGCCTTTCCCGGAACGTATTCCCCTCAACAAGCAACTGATCCCACCCGCAAGTATAAATCGCCACAGCAGATGGATAACTCGCATACAACAGAGAGGCAGGTGCCAAACCAGGCGAAAGATAAGGATGCGACATATCCGTCCGACCCGTATCCTGCCGTTTCGGCAGGCTCGCAGGGAGAAGATACGAATCGTCAAATAACTTGTACATAGAAGGGGAGATCATGGATTTTTGCTCGGCGATAGGATTCGTAGCATCCCGCTCTTTCCGCGTTCGTGTCCAGTCTGTACTAGGATAGAATACCACCAGACCAGCCAACGCAATCTCCTCGCGTATCGAGGCCCAGCGCTTTTTCTCCAGTTCTTCGTGTAGTCGGAATGGCACTGTTAGGGCGAGGTTCCCGCCTGCGCTGCATCCGCTGAGTACGAAGCGGGTTTTGTCAAGATTGTACTTTTGCGCTTCTTGCCATAGCCATAGGATAGCATCGACGCCGTCTTCCAGCGCGACGGGGAAGGATTGCTCTGGGGCTAACCGGTAATTGACGCTTACAATTACGGCTTCTGGGCAGGCTTTCAGCACTGTACCCGCCCAGCGGGCATCATCGCGAGCGTGGCCGATTGAGAAGCCACCGCCGTGGAAGTTGATAAGGACGGGGCGGGGCGGACATGGGCTGGTTTGTTTGCGAGGACAGAGGGGTTTTGAAGGTGCAGTGAAGAAGTAGAGTTGGACTAATCCCGGAGATTTACTGACTGTTGAGGGAATGGCGATTTCGACGCTTGGTCCTGGGGGTAGTGGACAGGAGAGGTATCGGTCTAGCAGGGAGAGTAGGCTTGAGAGTATGCGGTATCGGTGGGCCTTGCTGCTCAGGGCGGAGCGGGATGGAGGGGGTGGAGTGGATGCCATATTTTACTAAGGTGAACTCTTTCTTTTTTCAATGGCCGAAAAATTGCTGATATGTCGTGCTTATGTGGACGCATGAGATGAGTTGCTAGTCACTGGACCTGAATGCAGGTACCCGATGATCCCTGTCAGATATCGCGTAGCCAGCAGAGGAGGACTGTGCGAGTTATGATCTGAATGTTGTTCAAAGGAAACTGTCGCAGTAAATTGCTAATATCCCCAATGGTGATTGATGTATGACGTCTAGACAGATTGCCTTTCCATGTGGATATGTGGAGCAAAGCATAAAGCATAACTTAATTTATCTAGACCTCCATACTATATACCTAGGTAGGTAATGAGCGTGAATGTTATGAATACCAGGCATCTATAAATCGGAGTAAATACTGAATGATTCCAATAGCCCCAAGTTAATAACATGTATGTCACTAGTCCCAAAACTGACACTGGTGGGGCTGTATAGTCTCCGCTCCCGAGCCAAATCTAGTAGGTCGGACTCCGAACTTCGAGATAAATACAGGGGATGTCTGCTCATTTTATAATTTCTCAATTCGAATTTCCATCACACTAAAAAAGCGGATGCATATCATTTCACCGATTCCTCACATCTCCACAATGTCCTCCCCTCTCCCAATCGTCGTTTGTGCCCTAGACTCCGGGATCGGCAAGCCGGTATCTAAGCTCCTCCTTCCCGAATTCGAAGGTTAGTATAGCATATTATTCTTTATTTAGAAATAGTCCGAGTTATCTCAGAACAGGCTTACTAATACCCAATAGTAACCCATTTCATCCAAAGCCTCTCAGCAGCACAATCTGAAATTCCACACCTCCTCGCAGGCCGGGATCCTCAGTCCCCCCACGTGAACGACGTCGGCACAAAAGACTACAGTCGGCCTGTGCGTGCGATAATCTTTGGCCGTGGGTTTGACTTGGAGGATATTGAGGCATTGCGTGAGAATGTCGCTAGTATCTCGCAAGATCCAGTTTTGTGGATTGCTGGTGATCCAAGCCGCAAGCCTCCTCCTGGTGCTGTCCCGCCGCCTAACTACCACCAGCTTGTTGCGGGAGTTGCAAGGAAATTGCTCGGTGGGTGGGTCGAGGCTGGAGCTACCAGTAATGAGGTTGTTTTGTACTAGAGTGTTTGGCTCTTTTTTAGGTTCAAGATTTTGGGAGTTCAATATATATGTGCACAAAACCGTGTACTTTCCCAGCGAAATACTAGTAGGGTTTATCCATCTTAAACCACGGTATACTGGTTGATCTGAGTTCCATGCGGATCAGATAAACCCTTAGTGGTTACCTGAAGGGCATGATATCACTATACTCCAGCTTGGCATCGGCATGTTCACGAACAACGGTGCCAGATACATTCCTTTTAATGTTCACTAACGCTTTGTGCGGAATTGTCATACATAGAATTGTGATGACCCCCAAAATGCTACGTACACCGCAACCGCGCATGTTTCCAGTCAGATGTCATACCTATGAATTATTTGCATGTCTTGGGTGGCCTCGAAATTACTGTAGAAGCTACCAACGCAGAACGGGAGGGAGGCAGAGTAAGCATCGCTGATATTGAGCAACCATAATTTCCCAAAATTCCTATCCATCTGTGATAGCCTGGTACACAGATATAGCACCATATTCGCAAAAAGTACACATCCCGAAAGAAACGATGGCAGCTTCCCCGTGACAGGTTGGCGAAGGATCTATCGAAGCTCAGTGAGTGGAGAATCCCCATGAACCCGTGGGATCCACCTAGCTGCACATTTCATTTTTCAAGGCAATGCGGAATGAGCTTGAGTCATTGTGGCTGAGAAACGACTCGAAAAGTTTTATTCGAATATTACGTCAATTAGTGAGAAGTAAAACCTTGAAGTAATATACACTTGACAACACTAGTGGAGCTGTCGGTCTCATTTTGACGAGCACCCAACCTGTAGTATTCTTCCACTCCTCATGTTGGCATTTCCTGCGCCGTTGGAGACAATCGGTCCGAGTGGTCTAACCGACAACTCGGTCGACAGCCTTCGTGGTCTAGTTTGGTCATGACGTCGGTCTCATATCCTTTAATATGACATTCTTGGTAACAAGATTGACATCCGAAGGTCTCCAGTTCGATCCTGGACGAGGGCATCTTTTTTTTGCGCTCCATGGATGTTTTGCTAAATGTTAATACTGCAATAACAGCAATAGCAAAAGTAAAAAACTACTTGGTTGTATAGCATTTGATAACACACCGTCAAACCTGCAGTGCTTGCCTAAGTACCTTCCTAATTCACCATTGCCGACAGGTTCAACTTCGGAAAAATGCACTAGGACGTGGCATCTCAAGGCAGGCCGAATTGCAATTCACAAACTCAACTACATCATTAGATGGAAATCGCCGAGTCAGGTCACGGGCTAATCCTCTGTGTCTTTTTACTGGTAGCTCATTAAAGTATACCCCGCATCCGCAGTTCGAGCTAGGATGAGACCACGCGACAATTTCCCCAGATAAAAGCCAAGACGCCAAGAAGTGCGCGTCGACCGAAATGTCTAAAGGCCGGAGCAATACTACCCAATGTGACAAGTCATGGGATTAGGGACGAGATTAGGTCTAATGCTCTCTTAGGCTCTCATATTGTAGTTGAACTTAGTTTTGTACTCTGTGGAATGAAGTAATAATATCAACAATGACGTGCAGCTGGCTAGAGTCGGTTTCGGGGAAATTAGGAGCTAAGTCAATCTTTGTGCCCCTTCAAAATGGTCCAGGCCATTTTCAAACAACCGGTGCTGGTTGGGCAGATATTTTAGATAGGTAGACTCGAATGAAAGACCAGAATCATATCACAACGGGTAAATTAGGAAGCTAAGTTTCAGAAATGATTGGCTGTGATTGATATCAAGGACCGAGAATCTACTAGTTACATGCTAGTAACGTTGGTGAATGTTAGTCCGGATAATGGACATCAAGAAGAAAATGCGACGGGTGTGGACGAAAAAGGGCAAAGCGAAGTTCCCGGAATGCGTGAATAGATTGAAGATCACGGCTATGTCTATACATATTCCGTTTTGTGGAGGAGACAGGGGGAAACCCCCTTTTCTCCACCAGCCCTTACTCCTTCAGGGTGTGAACAAAAAAAGCCTCAAAATCCGTGACATACTTCCAGCTGGTATTCGTGTCACACGCAAGGAAAAAAAAAATTTAAAAAAATATAATGATCAGCAGGGATTAAAAAAGACCAGTCACTACGTAAGATGAAACAAATCGCGCAAAAATAACTAATTGTTTCACGAAGAATGGTACCGGGTGGAATTTGACCAAAGAAAAAGAAGAAAAAAAAAGGTCACGATCCCGAGGCCCGTAGCCGGTTCGGGATCCGCCGCTAACGGGGAGAAGGATCTGGGGTTGACTGTATTGCACAAGCCACAGCTGAACATCCCGAGAGGCGACGGCGACGGCGACCGATAGAAACTCATACAATCATGGCAGACCATGGCAAACTACGACAGACCGCTCATGTGCATATTATTTAGGAGTCATTCTTCCAAGTCCGTTGGTCTAGGCCATACTTTTCGGCGTTGGGACGTAATATGCATGGATTTTCTTAGGGCTTGGGGTTTGGAGTATGGAGACCCAGGTACTACTCGGAGCCTGGCGTTGGATCTTATTGCACAACCACAACGAGCGATTATCGCCGCTCAGCCAAAGCCAGTAAAAATAGGGCCTAGGACCCAGCGGCAATATCTTCTGCCCACCCGACCATCCTAGGAGGTGGAAATGTATGAATTCTGATTGGTCCCCGCCGCCGCGATCAATGGATGCATGTGCATCATCCTCGGCTGGTTAAACGCCGTTATTTGCTCCTGAATCCTGCTCCCAGACATTTTGTTCCGATATTTGCAGCCGAACCTGTCGTCATCCGGGTTCAAAGGGAGATATATCATTTTTTTTTAATCTTTCCCACGGGCAACAGGTAAGACATTCCGATATCTGCTCGGGTTGATATAAGCCGAAAACAAAAGAGAGATCTTGAAGGTCCAAGTTGATCGACAAGATTATGTCAGCTCCCCGCGATTTTTGCCTGGGCCACCCTTTTTCAGAAGTATATCGACCTAGTGAAGTCATTGCGCGTCATTCCTCTCGTCCGTGGATGAAATCCTAGATTTTGAATGAAATAGAAAAACTCATTTGTTCATTAAGATAGTCTAATTTGTAGATGATTGACGAAATTCTAAAAAGTTAACCTAGGTTGAAGTGTTTGCCGCATCCGTCAAAGCAAGCATAAAAGAACATGAACTGGACTTTTCAACTTCTCCTTGTACACACTACTCACTAAAAAAAATATCAATGAGTTATTTTTGATTCTAGAACTCATAGTTCTCCCGGTCATAGATCCCCCTAGTTCCGAATCAAGTTCGTGCCATTTGAACTATTCGGGTCAAGTCGGACTGCGCCTCCAGGCATTTGCAACCCACAGTGCTTCATCCCATCACCAACCGCGTGTCCGCTTCAGCTCGGCGTTCAGCCCCGACATCACCCGTGGAACTGTGGAGAAACACTACCGAAAGTGCACGAGAACCTCCTTCATACCAAGACCGATCGTGACTATGGCCTCTGCTGGAAAAGATTATATACCCCTCGGCCGCTCCAGTTCTCCAGGTCCTCTGGCTTCAGATTTCACTCAACAACAAATCGCGAAACAACGCAACAATAACTATCACTCTACTTCACTCAGAACAATGGTTGCCACATCTGTTAATCGCACTGCGCTGCACCCCGGTGGTGTTCAGTATGTTGCTGTCTTACCTCACTGTCCTTAACCTTATCGTCGCTAACTGTCTTCACTTAGGCCTAGCAAGGGTCACACCGAGCTTGAGGAGGAGCTTCACGAGACTGCTCACATTGACTACGACCGAGTCTCCATTGTAAGACCTCGCCATCCTTGCGCTTGACATTTATGTCTTATGTCGCTGTCTATCTCGTCTCATTGACTAACATGCCTTAGATTGCCAACCCCTCTGTTCCTGCCCTTTACGAAGATGCTCTTGTCTACGAGACTGGTACTGCTGTCACATCCAGCGGTGCTTTGAGCGCATACTCTGGTGCTAAGACTGGTCGTTCCCCCTCCGATAAGCGTATCGTCCAAGAAGCTTCCTCAGAAAGCGAGATCTGGTGGGGACCCGTAAACAAGCCCATGACACTTGATGTGAGTTACCTTTTTTTTATTCTCTATGCGCGATTTACTGGATATTTCATTGTCGATGTTGGGAGCATACACCCTTGCAGATGGGCCCGATGAGAGATCCACTTGGGATCCCTTGCATATGCATCGGGAGGTCAAGCTTTTCGGCATGACTTCGTGCAACCCATTGGAATGCCGTCTCTGCCGAAATATACCTCATTCCCTCTCATCTTGAGAATATTTCCCTCTGCCCGTCTCTTTGCCCTTTTTTGCCTCTCAATTTGCCCCTATTTGCCCCTCGGTATTCCCTCGGCATTCACCTGCGGCTCCACGATCCCCCGCCTTTGGCCCGAGGCACGTGTATGACGTCAATAAGGCTGGTGACTGACATATTTCCCCACAGGTCTGGCGTATCAACCGTGAGCGTGCTGTCGACTACCTCAACACCCGCAACCGCATCTATGTCATCGATGGTTACGCCGGCTGGGATGAGCGCTACCGCATCAGCGTTCGCGTTGTCTGCGCTCGTGCCTACCACGCTCTCTTCATGCGCAACATGCTGATCCGCCCCAAGCGCGAGGAACTTGAGCACTTCCACCCCGACTATGTCATCTACAACGCTGGTTCTTTCCCTGCCAACCGCTTCACTGAGGGTATGACCTCCGCCACCTCTGTGGCTATCAACTTCGCCGACAAGGAGATGGTTATCCTTGGTACCGAGTACGCTGGTGAGATGAAGAAGGGTGTCTTCACCGTTCTCTACTACGAGATGCCCGTCAAGCACAACGTCTTGACTCTCCACTCCTCTGCCAACCAGGGTGAGAATGGCGATGTTACCGTCTTCTTCGGTCTGTCCGGAACTGGCAAGACCACCTTGTCTGCTGACCCCAAGCGCAAGCTGATTGGTGACGATGAGCACTGCTGGACCGACACTGGTGTCTTCAACATTGAGGGTGGCTGCTACGCCAAGTGCATTGGTCTCTCCGCCGAGAAGGAGCCCGATATTTTCAACGCCATCCGCTTCGGTTCCGTCCTCGAGAACACCGTTTTCGATCCCGTCTCCCGCGTTGTTGACTACGACGATGCCACCCTTACCGAGAACACCCGTTGCGCCTACCCCATTGAGTACATCGAGAACGCCAAGATTCCCTGCGTGTCCGACAACCACCCCTCCAACATCATCCTGCTCACCTGTGATGCTCGCGGTGTCCTGCCCCCCATCTCCAAGCTCACCCCCGAGCAGACCATGTTCCACTTCATCTCTGGTTACACCTCCAAGATGGCCGGTACCGAGGACGGTGTCACTGAGCCCCAGGCTACCTTCTCTTCTTGCTTCGCTCAGCCCTTCCTGGCTCTTCACCCCATGCGCTACGCCCACATGTTGGCCGAGAAGATCAAGGAGCACAAGGTCAACGCCTGGCTCCTGAACACCGGCTGGGTTGGCGCCGGTGCCACCACTGGCGGCAAGCGTTGCCCTCTCAAGTACACCCGTGCCATCCTGGACTCCATCCACAACGGCGAGCTCGCCAAGGCCGAGTACGAGACCTACGCTACCTTCAACCTGCCCGTCCCCACCTCTTGTGCCGGTGTCCCCAGCGAGCTCCTCAACCCCGAGAAGAGCTGGACCGCCTCCACATCCTTCAAGGACGAGGTCACCAAGCTTGCTGTCCTCTTCAACGAGAACTTCAAGAAGTACTCCGACGAGGCTACTCCCGAAGTCCTCGCCGCTGCTCCCCAGGTTTAGAGGGTTTCGAGCGATGGTTAAAAATTTCTTTTTCTCCTTGTTTCTTGTTCTCCCAAACAGGATGAATAAGTCATTTGCATGGCGTGCTGCTTTTGTTTTTTTGGTGATGATCTTCGGATCCTCTCGCCGACGTCTGTCGCTTGTATCGGGACAAGCGATGGATATGCTTTGATCTCCCCCCGATTTGGGTTTTGCTTTTTATCTTCTGCCATCTATTTTGACTGGCTGAATGGAGTTATGTAGTGATATTAACGACAATTTTCCTTACATGATAGTCAATGCAATCATACGTTTCAATACTGACTTCGCATTCCCTTTTGTAGTCTAATAGAAAACATATAGTTATACAGTATGACAATAACTATATGTTTTCTATGTGTAGTACATGTAACTCTAACTAAAATGACAAGGAGAGTTTCAACGGACAAATAGTATGCACTTTGCCTTAATGGACAATGCTGCTTATATCTGTAAGACCCCACGAAATACCTATGCCTTCTAGCCTTCAGATAACATGGGAGTCGGCTGTTGAATAGCTTATTTCTTTGATTTATCCTCAAGTGAAGTGAAGTGATCATGTGGAACATCCATGTCCGGTACCATCTACCTAAACTCCTTTCCCTCGCTGATACCTCAACTCGGGAGATAATGATGCATTATCTCGTTTCTCGCTGACCTACAGCACAAGTGGGCGGTGGGCATTGACTGGGATCGACGCAGTCCCCTTGCAGAAGTATGGCTGATGTGTCTGAATTTCACAAAAGCGTGCATTGGAACAGTGATTCCTTCTCGTCCATAATGGAAACGCCCCCAATGGACCTCTTGTCTAACTATTTCATGGCCCAGACACCGTCGACTAGGCCTAGCGAAGGATGGTAAGTCCGAATTAGCTTCTCGCTGAATGGCGTTAGGCTGAGTATACCTCATTGAGTTCCACCAGAAAACTTCCACTAGGCCCATTGTGTAGCTAGAAGTGGCCTGGAAAATGTATGTAGTTGACAGCCACAAAATTGGGAAGCACTCGTCTGGCTTGATCGGGTTTTAGTGTAGGTGATGTAGTGTTTGCGTAGATCACTCAAATCGTATCGTACAACTCGGGGGGTTCTAATGGGTGCTCTCTGCATCTTCGAGATAACCCATATATCCTTCTCGCCGCAAGGTTTGCAGGATCATCGACCAAAAGTTGACGTGCAAACTAGTAAATATTAGCGTGTGGCTCAAGGCTGGATTTCTTCGGCAAGGGGGGCGCACGATATTCGGTCATCATCACAAGAGAAGGTGTATCTGATAGGAACTCCAAGACATGGGTACTTCCATGATAGCATGGAAGATAGAATCTCCAAGAAGCAAAGTGAATCATGGACAATGCATTGCAACATGTGTGTATTGCATCAAACAAAATTTAAGTAGAACAAACACATATCGAAATGGTGGCATCAGACCCCATGTCATCATTCTTCTTCTCATTCTCAATATCCATATATGGGAAGATTATATAATGGAGATTGGGACATTGCAGTCTGGGAAGAGAATATTCTCCCCTTTTTCCAGAAAGTGGACAGAAGGAGACAGACATTCCAATTTGGGGAACACGATGTTTTTGAGATCGCGTGTGAGATCGCGTGAGAGGGCGTTTGATGCATCATGTAGTGTCTCGCGTTGATGTTAGCTCGGATCCTTCGGGATGGCTTTTACAGCGAGAAGGCTTACCTTGAGAGCGTAAAACCAAGACCGAAAATACCCTTTAAGGCTATGTATATTCGTTTTCGTTTTGCAAAGTTGTCGCATTCTGGGATGTCCGGTGTGTTGTTGATGGAAGAATGGAGAAGGAAGAGAATGTTTTTTGGGGGTGGATTCACCGGGGGAAACTCCATGGCAAACAGTGCAGGAAATAGCAAATAAATCATCCGATTATAATTATATATTCCTCATAGACTTTTCTCAACAAATTTCATGTGTAAATGTACGTTATATGCGAATGACGATAGAAAATGATCAACGATGTCCAGGAGGGGTTTGTGGTATATATGGTATCACACCAACAAAGCTGCCTTTGTGGGAAATATTCAAAGGATGACTCAATCTCTTATGTTATTTACTGTGTTTGATTGTATATATTTTGGATAGTACATATAAATAGAGGAAAGCGTTTGTTGAAAATGCTAGAAAGACCCTCAACTACTGCATATGTAGGCTTTTTGGTCGAATGGAAAACTCCAACAGCTTTTTAAATTTCCAATCATACCAAAGATTAACGATCTTGCTGTCGATTCTGGTTGTTAGAACTTTATATAATTATGATTCATGAGATAGATGCCGAAGAATAACCTCTGCAGTTTGAAGATAAGCTGCGTTATTCTTTGATATATAAAATATATCTCTGCAGTCCTCCTTGAATTTTCTTCTTGCTTAAGTCTCAACTCATTCAACCCTTACATTATCCCATCAAAGACGTTTACTGAAGAAACCTGGAGTTGCGGCAAACAAATCGCACTATAACTTTCTCCCCTCCGCAAAGCAGGGACCTGAGTGATTGCAGGGTACACCTAGGCAGACCTATTGAGTATCTCAACTCCCTTACTCCCACTGACAAATCTTCATTCCTCCATCTTCTTTCAAACACTGCGTGTCATTTATCATGAGCTCAAGAGAGGAGACACCATTTCACAGGTAACAAAGCCATCCTTTCCGTTACCTCACATTCAAACACTGATGAACGAAAGAATTTACAGCGAAAGCCCGATCAAGGCCCGTGTGGGGAAAGACAAGGCCATTCTCTATGTCTTGCCTGACCCACTCATCTAAAGCATACCTGCGTTGACCACCATGGTTGCCGGACCACAGGAAGCTGCCGGAGAAAACACGTTGGACTGGTCCGAGTTTGATGAAGAAACCATCGACTGTGTCCTGAATTTCTGTTATGGTCGAAATTACATTGTCCCATGGGGACGGCAGTCAAGAAAAGACACAGCTCCACAGGAAACAGCACCGTCAACTACTGAACACAGTAAGTCCACCGAATTTTCAACAACTCGGCTCTCGGCATACTGATTAGTTTATCTAGGTGCTCGGTCCGGCTCCTCACACAATCGCCGAAGCTACACGGGGGAGGATATTGTTCTCCATGCGAAAGTCTACCCATTCGCCCATCGTTCTCTTGCTGAGGACCTGGAGCAATGTGCCGTTGTTCGGATGAAATATTGTTTCCAGCCGTTTCTCAAGGAGTACTGAAGTTCACCCTTGACAAGGCTTGTCTATTTGACAGATACGATCGAAATTATCGATGACAGCACGCCATCGGGTATCAGCTTGATGGATCCTACTCGGCGAGCGTTATGTGATTTTGTTGTCGCTGCTCATGAAGAGTTCAAACCCGATTTTCCCGACTTGTGAGAGGACGCTGGAGACTTTATGCTTGGGCACGCTCCGAGTTTCTGTCCGGCAACGATAACATAGAAAGAGAATTCGAAGTGGTCGGTGGAGAGAACTAATCGAAGATGAGAGTGGTGGCGGATGGAAAACACCTGAGAATGTTAAATATCCAAAGATGCCCGGAAAGATGCAAATGAAAATGAATTGGTCAAATATGCCAAGAGGTTAGAAGTCAAGGCTTAAATAGAGGTACCTTGAACCTCTCACTCCCGCTCCTACAACCCGGCCCCGGCTCCTCAATGCCATACCCCCTATCCAGGAACGCCATACATAAGCAATGTTCCCGAACTCCCATGCCGGTAGGGCCCGTGGGTCTAAATTGAGGCTTGATGCCGGTGGAGTTCCCGACTTGCCGAGAACCCTTTCCGCGGAGAGAAGTGGGAGTGGTGATGCGCTTTGAGTTTGGTTGACACCTTCCGCGTGGGAACTCTTGGTCGAGCTAGGCACGGAGTGGATTCCGCAGATGATATTTTGGAGCGCATTCGGCAATTAGACTTTGACGATTGGTTGGTTTGGTGTAGTAATAGCGTTGGTTGATGTTGTTTACTAGAAGTTGACGGGTTTGTTAGATGGATTTTAGACCAGTGTGAGTTGTTTTTTTATTTGTCGGAGGACGATGAAGAGAGCTGAATATGTTCGTGGGAATCGAAGAGGTCCGTGGCTATGCGGATGAGTTGTTTAGTTGGACAATTTGTCTTCTTTGTACTTTGAAGTCCGGACTTGGATTACACCGGGGCCTCGGACTCTAACAGAGAGTATAATGACTCGAACATGGACTTGGCGGGTCGTACAATATTATCAAACGGTGATATCCGATGCTGGATCTTGGTTGGGCATCCACGGCTCATAGCTTAGTCTCGCATCGCTTTGGTGACCTTCCCACCACACCAATTCGAGCACTATTCGATCAAAACAAGTTCCCGCCTATTCCCCGTGCCATATTCCGGACAAATAATCAAGGGTCATCATCCCCGGACAAACAAATGTCAATATTGTCCGGAGAACACTCCTCCGCTGCCTCTTACCGATATGCCCGGTCCTCTCGAAACGATGTTCGAAGTTGACAACTTATATCCGCAATCGTCACAAACGACCAATACCATGGAGCAGACGCAGCACCAGGTACAGGGTGAGAATCCACTTTAGAAGCTTACCTGACATAATTATTGCCGGTCATCGGCGGAAAGAAGCCAGAAGCAAGCCCAAACCGGAGGAATCTATGCAGCCTCGCCGTGTCAACTCAACAATAGTAGCGCGAGCCGCAGCTCCACACCAGGAAAGGGGGATCATTTAGAATCTCAATAGATGAGATTGGTCGACGACCAGGGGGATGGTGTGAGGGCGGGCCCACCACAGCGTCAGCGGAATGATGCTCGGCCGATTGGACTGCCGTACGAGCAAGTTCGGATCGTTGGCCCGAGGGAAGCGGGAGAGAATTACTGAGGTGGAATAGCCGATTAGACTTGTTCGCCCCGCCCATATGCTAGTCCAGGCTATTGAATTCTAGGCACTGGGACAAAGCCCAACAATTCGATCATAGTCCGATATACGGCTTATCCGTGCGTTTGTAGTGAATACCCAACGGAGAATTGATCCCGTTGGGAGATTGTGCTGGGAATAACTTGAGGTATGTATTCTTGAACAGGGTATGTATCCATGGAAAATCTGCAGCCACAATTGCAGACAGTCATTGATGTCCGAGATATGCCCGGAGAGGGTTTATACGCGGTGTCGGGTATGTACCTATATCAGCAGGTAAGACCGGGATCCCGATAAGTTATCGTGGGGAATCCCAAAAGGGTTTAGTGTGAGTGGGGATTCCGAATTTAGCTCGTGGCACTAATATATCTGCCGTGTTGATCTAGTTGGAAGACGTCAACGAAAGGGGATGACAATTTGGAGTTTGTTCTACATAAGAGAATATTAGAAATAGTCCAGGATTATCTAGACACTCTTCTGACCTGGTTATGCGTCTGTTATGGAAAAAAAAGCAAGGTCATGGAATGCAGGATCGTCAAGCTATCCCCCCGCATTTTGACAAGCTCCGTAGCATGCAGACAGGTTGACGTTCGTGCATTGATAATCCGTGCATCAATAATCGAAATGATGCAGATCTCATTGGTCCAACACTTGAACCTTGGTGGAGAGGTCCTAGTTCTAGCGACTTTCGCTGAGGGAAATGCCTGATATTATTCCCGTCTCCATATTGTCATCTCCATATACCCTGGGCGGGGAACCCGCGGGTAGCCATCGGTTGGAAGTCGGTTGAAGGGGGATAATCTCCGGTTCGGAATGAGTTCACGGTTGTGTAGATTACTTGGGATTACTTGAGATTCATTATATTAGACAAGCTCAGGCCCCGATTGTCCCCGGTTTGACCCTTCTGTATAGTTGTACCAGAGTACTTGACTCTCTACACGACATCACACCCCGCACCTTCTCTGTCCGGTGACTTTTCTTGTGTCTCTCCCCTCATATTCTCTCTCTCTTCTACTTTCTGTTCTTTGTTCTTCTTCAACTGTACCATCGCCACCTGTTGAAACCTGAATCTGTCATATCAAACTACGTCATCGGTAAGTACCATGGTCCAAGAAACCCGTGAACAGTCCCCGTGGCTTCTAAATCCACCAAAGAGATCTTGCTAATCTTCTGAAAAAGTTTCTTATTGTTAGTGCATCTCCCATGTTTTCTTGATCCTTCCACGTCTATAGATCGTGCATCATATTGACCTTGATCTAGGATCTTAATACTTGACTATGGCATCCACTATCAAGGACAGTGCCAGCACTGCCGCTGTCTCTGCCCAAACCGCAACCAAGGCCGCCATTGACAATCCCCCCCGACTTCCTGCACCACCCGTACACCCGCCATGCCCTGCCCTTCATCAACGGCGGACTGGCCGGTATGACCGCAACCGCCGTGATCCAACCCGTCGACATGGTCAAGGTGCGTCTGCAGCTCGCCGGCGAAGGAGCCCGCACCGGTCCTCGCCCATCCGCTCTCGGTATCACTCGCGATATCATCGCCTCCGGCAAAGTCCTCGATCTATACACTGGTCTGTCCGCCGGTATCCTCCGCCAAGCCGTCTACACTACCGCACGTCTGGGATTCTTCGAGACATTCATCAAGAAGCTTAATGCCCGCGCCGAAGCCGCAGACCGAAAAGTTACCTTCGCCGAGCGTGCTGCGGCAGGACTGACTGCCGGTGGAATCGCAGCGATGATTGGAAACCCGGCCGACTTGGCTCTGGTGCGCATGCAGTCCGACGGCCTGAAGGCCCCCGAGGCTCGCGCAAACTACCGTTCCGTCTTTGATGCTCTCGGTCGTATCACCCGCACCGAGGGACTCGCTGCCTTGTGGGCTGGTGCTTCGCCTACAGTTGTCCGTGCCATGGCCCTCAACATGGGTCAATTGACTTTCTTCTCTGAGGCAAAGCAGCAGCTTAAGCAACATACTTCTCTCTCCGCTCAGAATCAGACTTTTGCTGCGTCCGGAATTGCTGGCTTCTTTGCTAGTTTCTTGTCTCTGCCTTTCGATTTCATCAAGACCCGTCTTCAGAAGCAACAGAAGGATCCCAAGACTGGACAGGTTCCTTACAAGGGCTTGGTGGATTGTGCGCGCAAGGTTGCCAAGGAAGAGGGCTGGTTGCGTTTCTACCGTGGATTCGGTACTTACTACGTCCGAATCGCTCCTCATGCGTTAGTTCCCCCCACTATTTTACCCCAACTTTTGATTTTTCCCCACTGACTTGCATCTACAGCATGGTTACCCTCATCGTGGCTGATTATCTCAACCTCCTCACCAAGTAAACTTGCTTTGCCGGTTTCGAAAGCCTGAGTTTTCAGGTTTCATTCTTTTACATTGCTCGCTTACACGACATCGCATCGACCTATTGCTCAGTTGCGCGATTTAATATTTTCTCACCATGCCACAAAGTCTATCAATAGACACAATCTGCTATTTTTTAACATGGGAAGCGCAGCGCCCGGAGGAAGACAGCCAATCCGACTCCGAGGCACCTTATGCTCCGCCAGGTCTGTGTACGTCGCACAAACCCACCCCCTCCCTACAATGACAAATTACCCATGGTAGATTTCATTCCTGGACATTCGGAAAACATGACCAGCAAAGGTCCATTTCCATTTGCAATTTCTTTTTCATTCCCGGGGAAGTGAAAGTGAAAATGTGTCGGAGAGGCTACGCGGCCGACAAGTCTTTTCCGCGGAGAGTCAACACGACAACAGAATACAACGCATTGTCTTTGTCAGGTCTTCGTCAAGTCCTTGCTCATTTTCCTGCTTTTATTATTCTTTCTCTTTTGTTCTGGTTTCGACAAGCGAATACCCCCTTGTCTTGCTGTTCTTCTTTGCCTATGTCATACTCTACGTCATCGTCTTCGGCTTCGATGTCTGCTTGAGGGAGATATGCGAGTTAGGTAGGATCCTCAGTGGATAGATAGCTTAATTGTCTATTTCTTTCTTTTTCTTTTCTTGAATAGTAAAACGGTTACTGTCTATGATTCATATAGGGTTACATTCTCCAGGAGCCATAAGTATGCCTCTAGTAAAGGAACAATGTGGCTCACCTCATAGTTGGTTATGGGCAATCCCGGTCTGCCGGATAGTCCGTCTCAGACAAATTACATAGATATCTTGAGATGTAACTCGGCGGAGATTGCAGAGGAGACGATGAAGGTCTCTCTGCACTAGGTAGGCTTGTTGAACTTATCGACCAGTAATATTGCAACCGATTTTCTGCCAATGGCTCTAGGTCATGATGCTTTTACAAATAGGATCAATAGTAGACGTAAATAAGTCTCTCCATTATTTATGTGATTGTATTCCATTCTAACGGCGAAGCAGAAAGCAAGCCCTGCAGAATAGAAAACAAGAAGGAAAAGGCATGCCATCGTGAGTGTGAAACAATTCACCATTAAAATCGACTTCGTAAAGATAGGGGGCCCAAAGTGCACCACAGGCAAATATGCTCGCCAGATGGCCGGGGAATCACAAATCGGGGGGCCGTCATAAAAGAAAGAAAACAAACCAGGCAGTCGACGATCAAGACGTGCGCTTCCAGATCCATCACAGAACAACAAGACGCCCATCGCAAGAACGAAAGAAAAAGAAAAAAAGAAAAAAAGAAGATCACGTTCCATCCCATTCCCTTGGGTTTCATATTAGTTCTGATCAACTAGATCTTCTCATCACCAACATGCCTGGACTCAATAGCGCCAGGCGGCAGGACATCCTCAAGTGTCTCACCCGTGCCCTCGATCTCTTCCTCCGCAGGAACAGAGTCCTTGATCTTGAAGAAGACGACAGGAACGGCGACGAGGATCGAGCCGCACAGCAGACCGAAGTTCGAGGCATATTCGTTCATGAAGGGAATCTTTCTTTCGTCTAACGACCACATCACGGCTGCGCCGGCGGATTGAAGACCCTTGTAGAAACCTGCCAAGTTGGCGAGCTTGCGACCGGAGTTACCGAGGGCGCCCATGATCCTAGAAGAAAGAATGTCAGTCACGAGGTATTGCAGGGAAGAAAACGAAGGAGATCTTACCAGTAGACAATGCCCTGCCAGGCGGCATCGTACATGCCGTAGAAGAAATAGAGGAACATAGGACCAACGTATCCCTTGGTAGTCCAATCCCAGCCCTTGAAACCCGTGATATCGGGGTTCACATCCTCACGGGTGTACCTAACCTGCCAAGCGTAGCCACCACCCCAAATAACGAGGGTGAGAACGAACAGTGCGGTCAAGGCTGCCTTAGCACGAATAGAGCGACGAACACGCTCGGTGTCAAGCAAGGGGCCCATGATAACAGCTGCCACGATCTGCGCAAACCAGTACAGGAATCCGTTCAGCGCCTTGGTGCGAGTGTTGAAGTAGGCGCCGTTAATAGCGTTCTGCTGGTATGTGTAGAACCAGTTGGAGGACCAGAACATAGGGAAGAGGAGGATGATCCATGGTTCCGAGCGAACCGTATCCCACAATCCGACGATCTCGGACTTCCACGAGGGGTTCTTCATGAGGATGACGCGGGAACCGTCGGGACGCACGACTTTGTCTGCGTCGCAGAGACACAGGGCAAGACATGCGCCTGCGAACATGAGTACGATAAAGGCGATGTAGGTTCCATCACCAACAGTCTTGTTCTCTGTCACATGGATGTTTTGGCCCAGAGGGATCTTTGAATTGCCATATTAGTTGTTGTTGGATGATGTAGAGCCAATTGGGATTGCAGGGCCAGGTAAGGGGGGAGGCGGGGGGTGGAAGTGGTCTTGTCTTACCAAACTACCGATACAGGCTCCGACATTGAAAATACCCCAGAACCAGGCGAAATAGCGACCCTTCTGCTGCTCGATCGGGTAAGACATCATGATGGTACCCTGTGCGGCCCAGAGCAGACCGGCGCAGACACCGAGGAAGGCGCCGGCGAAGATGTTGAAACCAGGGACATATGCATGTTCGGAGACGAGGAGACTAATGGAGTAAATGCAGTAACCGACTCCACCGAAGGAGAGAGAAAGACGGACGCCGATACGGTTGACGACTGTTCCGGCGAAGAAACCCACCACGGCGAAGGTACTGTTCAATGCGATGTTCTGGTTGTTGATTGTTAGAGCGCGAATACCACAATATAAAATGCGACCAAATCGGAGTTTCGGAGTATTAGATTGGTGAAGAGTGGGGGTGCACGAGACAGGTAGAGAACCAAAAAAAAAACAAAAGTGTCCGAGGGTGTGCAGATCATACCATTTTATCAGCCAGGCTGGGGTCGGACTTTCCACCACCGCCCATTCCACTTAGGGCGTTGAACATGCCTGGACAGAGGAAACAGACGAAGGCGACCATGCCCAGTTGGATGCGTGGCGAGGCATACCAACTCGTCGAGAACTTGCCGATCTTACTGGACCTGTACATCCATCCTGGGGGTCGGGGTGTTGGGTCAGGTTCGGCAGAATATTCGACGGGAGTCTTCCGTTCATTCTTCATGAATGTATTCATAATGAATGGAGGCGGAAGCCGTAGAAGAATAGAGGATTAAAATGTGTAAAGAAGATTAAGAGGTGTGTTGGGGGAGAGGGTAAGATGAAAAAGGAGGCATGGGATCTTTAAACCAAAAGAAAATTAAACCAAGATAGATAGCCAGCTTCTCAATTTCTTGTACGATGTACCCCTACCCCGACTTTTCGAAGAGAGATATAGGCCAAGCGAGAGCTAAGTCCAGATTACAATCAAGAGATAGATCAAAATAGTGTTGCAGGGTAGTATTCGTTGGGTCACGGACTGGAGCTAGCTTTATGTGGCGGGCCTTCAGAAAGAGAGTCCATACAGAGTAGATATTGGTGGTAGATCCAATTGGACAGGGGTGCTGACTTGCGGGGTCTAGTTGATTGGGGGCCATGCCGCTTTGATAGCAGTGTTACACCCTGATGGTACTGTTTCTTTGAACGGGTAGACCGGGTTGTCGCGTGAGAACTGGGGAAAGGGGATGTAGTATTTTTTGTTACAAGGTTCCAAGGTTACAAGGTTACTACGGGAGCTTCCAAGGTTCTGGGGTTTGAACTAATAAAGTTGGGAGATCTGGGCAATTTAGAGTCACATCCCGAAAATAAATGAAAATAAAAAAAATACAAAAAGAGAGAAAGGAGAGAAAGGAGAACCCGTGAACGAGGGACGCTAGAAACACTAGTCTTGAAACAGCTATACTTCACATTGATTGGTCGGTTCATCCCGGTCCCACGAGCCAATCCGTTGGCTCAACTGCGGGGGAGAGTCTAGAATAGGCCTAGCGTGTTCCATTCTTTCGGATGTTTTAAAACATGTGCTTGACATCTGCATGAAGTCACCATATTTAGATCTATAAGATACAAGATACCAGATAACAGAAAACTTACAATCGGAGGCTCTAATCCAAGTAGTACAGATACAGTCAGCTGAGGGTTTAGGGAAGAATGCAAAATTCCGATATGTACATATGTACGTAGTTTGAAACGTTTCATTGTCTCGGCTTAGTGGAAAAGGCATAACGGGAATTCATTTAAAAACGCTCAGAATAGACGGTATCATGCATATCAATCACTCTCGTAGCTTTCAACCTCCTCATCCTCGGACACGCCCTCGACTTTGAGCTCAATATCACTATCACTGTCAGTGTCGGTGTCTTCGCTGTCCTCAGTGTCCTCAGTGTCACTGGTATCCTTATTCTGCCCTTTCTCACTCTGCACATCAACTTGTTGCACATCCTTCTGAGAATCCACAAGTTCATTCTGTCCTTGCTCGCTCTCCACATCTTCATTTTCATCTTGCACATCCCCATTCTCCTCCTCGCTGTGTCTGCCTTCGTTCTGCGCTTCTTCATCCTGCTCTTCCTCATTGTGCCTTTCATCGCTAAGCACTTCCTCATTCACTTCTTCATTCCGATTTTCATTTTCTGGTTCGTCGACTTCCAGTTCTTCGTTTTGCTCTTCTTCATTCTGCCCTTGTTCGATGTCAAGTTCGTCGGTCTCCACTTCTTTGTCGTTCGGCTCTTCAATCTCCACATTTTCATTCCCTGCTTCTCCGTTGGTCAGTCCAGTGATCTCGACCTCTTCATTCTCCCCTTCTTCATTCTCACTTTCTGCATTGTCCAGTTCCTCTATTTCCACCTCTTCATCTTGTGTTTGTTCGTTGTCCGGTTCCGTAGTGTCAACCTCTTTATCCTGTTCTTGTTCAATCTCCACCTCTTCATTATCTTCATTCTCCTCTTCCCCACTCTTACCTTCTTGGTAGTCCGGTTCCTCCATTTCCGCCTCTTCATTTTGCTCTTCATCAGTTTCCACCTCTTCGCTTTCCCCTTCTTCACTCTGCTCTTCCTCCTCCTCTTCTTCTTCTTCTTCTTCATCCTCCCCTTCTTGACTCTCCTCTTCTGCATTCTCCGCATCGACACCGGACTCATCATCAGATTGAGCAGCCCGAGCAGCCTGACTGAGCGGCTCCATTTTGATGTGCTGTGAGGGAGGAGGGGCATCAACATCCATAGCATCATCATCGCTTTCCACGTCACTACCCAAGGTAATGCCGGTACTGCGATCCTTCTGCTTTCTTCCGTCCCCTTCAAGGTGATCTTCTTCTTCCTCGCGCTCCTGGAGCTCTTGGGCACGGCGAACACGTCGTAGTAGAACAGGATCTGGCCGTAAATCGTCCGCAGTCAACGGAATAGAACAGACAGGACATTTGACCACATGGACGCGACGCTGTCCACGACGAGATGCCGGGGGCGCAATAGTAGTCGGGCTGCGTTTGATCATATCCATAATCGCCTCGCGCTCGAAGCTGTGCGGACATTTGGTGCTCGTCACAGGGTCCTGGTAAGGTGTGAGAGTCAATGGGCATTTCAGGGAGATGCGCTCGCGCTCAATGGCAATGTCATCGTCGGAGTCGGCAGGCGAGGCACGACGGTGCTGGTTGCGTGTACGTGCCGGTGCCCCTGATCGCGTATTCGGATCTTCCATGTGTTCGAACCATGTAGATGAGTGAGGCAAGGGCGGGACGTCGTCGCCGGGGAACTTGGAGTCGTGTACCATTCTATAGAAGCCGATGTAGGAGTTATTGCTGGCATATCTAGATCGTGGTTGTCAGTTTATATGTGTTCGAGTATAACAGCCACAAAAATGGCAAGGAGTAAAGCCCATACCTCTCTGTCAAAGAAAGCTCATCCCATTTCTGAACGCCCTCCGCCAACTTATCGACTAGCTTGCGACTAGGCGGGTTCTGTGCATTGCGCTCGCGCATCTCTCTCTCCTGCGCATCTTCATAATCGCCATCGGTAGGATCCTCGGTCCCATCGGCATCATCTTCAGCATTGGCTCTCTGCCTTGCCCGCTGTCGGCGGGTCTGTCTTACTCCCAACACAGCAGCGACAGTCTCGCCTTCCTCTCTTTCAATTTCACCCATCGCATCTGTCAACCCTTGGAGCTTTATTTCTGAGTCGACAATCAGTCGAGTCTTCTCCTCCATCTGAGCAGTAATAGCATTGACTCGAGTCTCTGCCTCAGCAAGCCGCTGATACTCTTCATTGCTCTCATCGTCGTCCACGTCCTCGTCGCCTTGGCGTCGGCGAGCTTCCTTCAGTTTCTCGTATCGAATCCTGGCATCACTAAGACGCTCATTTACTTCACCACCTGAGTGTGTGAGCTTCTCGGTGGCATGTTGGAGGTGGGTACGGAGGTTGCGGAGGTGTGGTGATGCGAGGAGGGCGGCAATTTGACGCTGACTCTCGGCTGTGAGAGGGGCCTCGGGAGTCTCGTATTCTGGTAGAGGTGTAGCTTCTGAGACTGAGGTGTGGGTTGCGTTTCGTCTGCGTGATTGTGCTGATTGTGGATGGACTGAAAGCCGCCGGCTTGGTGTTGCCGACATCGTCGTGGCAAAAGAACTATTGTAGTGAGTGGATTAGTGAGATCCGGATTACCAGGGGTTTTATGCTTTGATTCGAATACAGGGTTCCTAAGCCATTGACAAAGAAAGTCCAAGTAACAAAGGGCATCTCGAAATCCCGACGCGAGACGCGATGACGCTAGTCCCGTTTGGGTTACATATATATCAGCGATAAGCCTTATCAGTGCGGAGTGGGCCTGGACATTCCAAGGTTGGAAGTATGAGGAGTATAGTTCTTTTAAGAGACACTCTCATGTTCATTCTTCTGCATCATCTACTCCGGTATCTGGTTATATTAATATCAGGGTAAATTTTTTACCTTTTAGATGAATATGTGGATACATTTTGCTCTCATCACCCATCACTTCAAGGTCTTATATCCTAGATCTAGATGATATATTTTCCTTTCTCTCATACCAATACTGCATCTCAAAATTGGAAGTGCGAAAAACAAAACAACCGAACAACACTTCTTAGTAGTTAGGGTTTCATCTATCACTAATTATATTGCACAAACCCCCTGCATGAGCCCATACTAAGAAACACCGTCGCAATATTCAAGCTATATCGATGCGCTGTATTTTGTTAGTCCAGCATCACAAAAACCCTTGGTATGTACCTCAATATTCCCCAACAAACTACATTGTGACGCTGACTTCGAACAACGAAGTCAGAGCGGGACGCCTTAACCATACACAACGACCTACTCAGCGACAAGGATTCCTTGTTATGTAAATCTGCATAACCATGCATTTGCTCTGAAACCCGTCCCAATCGGACGAAAGTTGGAACGACCTTCACGGCCCAATCTAATGCTCATGTCAAAGTTGCGGGTGGCTTGGCGTTCGTATACGGATCTGATTCCAGCACTGATCTGCAATTGCAAAGGCTATAACATCGTAACCTAATGCAGCGCTATGCCCTCTAGCGGTGTATATGCCGCTGCCATTAGTGGCTGCTTACCCGCAGCTTTCGACTCGATTATACTCCACAATCAACCTTAAATGCCCGTAAGATGGACAACACATTGAATCTACGAAGAAACTTTAGACCCCGAAGCTTGGACTTAGCCTTGGCATGTCGCCAGGTCTGACCGTATAAAGCTAGCCTTGCGCGCAGCCCCCACTAGGCCCAACAGCTCCTTATTTCACTACGATGTTAATGTACGATAAACCAACGAGTTTAGTAGGCAGAATCCATGGCGTTTTTCAAATAGCAACTTGATTTTACAAACACTATCCAAGTTCAAGGACCTTTGAGCTTCCCTCCAGATATATAAAGGATAGAAATACCCAGGGAAGTATCTCGAATTATAGCCATTTATACATCCATCCCCCAATCTAAAGGCCACTCCCATCAACTCCAATTACCTCGAATATGCATATCCCAACCCTCTCTTCCACCCTTTCCTTCCTCCTGGCAATCCAAACAACGAAAGCCTGCAACCCATCCCGTCGCGACACCAACGCCCCCAACCCCTTCACAATAGGCACCGATGGCCCGGCCCCAGAGGCAACGAAAGGCTTCGCCCTAAACCACATCGGCCTCTTAACCACCGATCTCCCCGCCATGAAGAACTTCTACGGAAACATCCTAGGCATGCGCAATATCTTCGACGCACAAGTAACAGCCGAGTACTCAGTAACCTACATGGGCTACTCGCAAGGCGGACGAAACGGCACCGGTTTCCAAACCGGCGCAGAGATGGCGGTTGCCAAGAACAATATGTACGGGCTGCTGGAGCTGGTGCAGTTCAATGTTTCGGATGACCGGCTTATCGCATCGACCGAAAGAACCAATACCTTTGGACATGTTGGGCTTGTTGTTCCCGATGTTGCCGAGGCGCAGACGTATCTTGAAGCGCAGGGGGTGGCGATTCTTAAGAGGGTTGGTGAAGCTGTGGAGGATTTCACGGGGCCTGTGCCTAATTCGATGGGGATTGGGGAGTTTGCGGGATTGCATCTTGAGGCTAAGAGAGCGCTTGTTAAGGCGCAGGGGTTGATTGGGTTTGAGATGTTTTTGATGGTTACGGATCCTGATGGGAATGTGGTGGAGATTCAGCAGCAGGATGTATAGAGGGATTGGGAGGGATTTGGGAGTGGTACACTCGTGCATTGAGGAGGCTAACTGGAGTTTTATTGAAGGCAGTGAATATACCGGTGATTTGAGTGTTGTAGCCATCAATTGCGATTCATGTCATATAACTGTTGTTGGGAAGTCTAGGTATTTTGATATCTAAGGAGATCATTTTTTGAAATTGAAAATACAAGTGCTGAGTGCTGAATAGTTTACATATAGGTCAATGGGATACTCAAGTCTCCACGACAGCCTATACCTTGTAGAAGCAGTATGCATGGTAGAAGCCTGGCGATGTCACCTGTTAGCAGCTGATGAAAGCAATGTATATCTGGGAATTACTCACTGACGGCCTCCTTCTCTTCCTCTGTCATATTCAAAGCACCAGTAGTGCGGTCTCTTACACCCATCCGCTCACTGAGCGGACCCAGCTCGGGGTGATTCTTCTCATCCTCCCAAATCTCCAAAAATGGCTTGCGGTACTGTAATTCCAGGTTGTAATCCTCGGTCAGGCTGAATGAAAAGTTAGTTATGCATGGCAAATCGTGATAATGGTCAACACTCACGCTCGGAAAGCCTCCCAGGGAACAACGTATTCAGGGACCTCTTCCACTGCTTCCTTCATGAAGTAACTGTACTTCCACCCGAAAGGCGGACGGAAGATTCCATCCTCGGGGGTTGGACCAGGGAACTGAACGCGGTAGATATCGTTGCCCCACTGGGCCCGCTCATCCTCCTCGACTTCACCATCCTCGGGGCCTTCTGGCTCAGCCGGCTTGGCAGCCTCACGCTCCTTGCGCTCCTTGTGGAAGGTAGAAACGCGACTGGTAATGACATCTGAGTTGGGACAAACGCCGAGGAAACGACCGCCTTTCTTCAAGCAACCCGCGACATTGCTGAGCATTTGGCGGGCCTTCTCTTCAGTCTCAAAGGCATAGTGAATGGCAAACATAGATGTGACAATATCAAAGCCGCCACCGCCGTAGCGAGAGGCCATGATAGACCCACCGGGACCGGCATTGGCATCGATACCAACCCGCTGGACGATGTCGATATCGCCCAGCCACTCGCCAAAGCAGTCTTTCGGGTAGAACTCGGCATGGAAAATCGGCTGGGGTGGTCGACGGCCACGTTGGCCACGGCCGGTACGCATTTGATCGTACCGGCCTCGCGCCTGCTCAATCGAGATATTGGCAGGGTCAAGACCGACGTAGAGGTCAACCGGCTGAGGTGCTAGCTGCCACTTGCCCAGATCGCCACCCTTACCACAACCGAGATCCAGCACGAGAAGCTTTTGATCAGCAGGGGGCGGCGGGCCTTGGCTGTCGTCCGCCCAGTCCTTGCTATCCTCGAATCGCGCCACAAATGACTCGTCGGGAGAGAACTTTTGAATCAGAGTACTCTTCACCCAGTTGTTGAAGCTTCGTAGCCCCTTGATCTTGCTCTCCGTCTTCCGCCACTCACGACCTCTTTCAGGAACCGCGTTGTAGTGTTGTCGGACCACATCTGCGACACCGCGCTGCTGGGAGTTGCGCATAGCCTCATCTTGCTCCGCACGTTCACGTTCTTCCTGTTTGCGTCGTAGCGTCTCACGGTCTACGAGCCCCTGTCGCGCTCCGCCACCTGGTCTCTTGCGTTGACGTGGTGCGTCGGGGGAGGGAGAGCGGCGTGGCTGTAGTGGCGATCGAGAGCGTCGGTCTTCGCGTGGTGGAGCGCCGCCAGGGCTGCGGGAGCGGTTGCGTCGTGAGAATACTGACGGCGGAGTTCGGCCTCGTTTCCGAAGGGCTTGGTGTCTCTCCTGGAGTCTTTTGCGCTTGGCTGCGGCGCTTGATAAATGACTCGACCCGTCTGCCGCACCGTCTCCTTCGATGCTCCTGTGTCTTCCGGTGTCTGTCGGAGGGTGTGTGGCATTCGTGCGGACAGGCGAGCGGGGAGTGGATCGCCCACGAGCTCCATCATGAGCTCCATCTCCATTGGGATAATCCATGGCGACGTGGGTAGAGTTGTGAAATGTTCAAAGAAATGATTCGGGCGAACGATGGGTGCGGAGATCCGGTGAGGAAAGAAAGGCGTATCTGTGAATTAGAATAATTAATCTTAGTAGAAATATAGAATTTTAGGCAGATTTCACAAAAATATTGCTCTCCGGAGATGTGGAAGTCAGAGTTATATCAGAGTAATGGCCAGCTGGGGGTCCGAACAAAGTCCAATGAGCTCCGGATCTCGACCAATCAGAGCATCTCAAGGCAACCCTAATTCCCATTCATCTGTCTACGTACATATATAGGTACATTCCTTCAAATGGATTTTTAAGATTACGGCGACTAGACATGAACATGAGATAAATCAATTCTTACCATTGCGAAGTGTCGTGGCTCACAATGTCCATAAATCGAAGCTATCTGGGGGAAAAAAAAAACACAAGCCGCTGAAGATGCACTTTGACCCTCGTCATAAAACCCGCGCTCCTAATTAATGTAATATTGAATAGAAAAGAAGACCATAATGCAAGATCACTGAGGCAAGACAGCTTTCCGTTTTGGCGACTTGGCCGTCAAAACCTGTCTTACCCGTCGGATTTTCGCCCACCACTCGCGGTCTGCTTTCTTTTTCGCGTCCGGGTTTTCTTCTTCGCCCCCAGTCTCTGTTGGTGTACTTGTGTCGGTCCGCAATGTATCGGAGGAGGCCATGGTGCGGACTCTGCGGCGGTGTTTGACCTTTACGGCCTCCGTGACCATCTGCCACCCCGCGCGTAGTTCTGTCAACTTCTCGTTGGGCCGCCCAGTGCCACTTTGAGCCACCTTGTCAATCCAGGGACAATAATCCATGTGCTCATCGGCGACATTGAGGGAAGTGTAGACGGTCACGTCTCCATTATCTTTGGGTTTGTACATCCATAACCCCAGGCGACGGAAACACGCACCACACCCAACTAACCCCGCAGCTCCATCGGAGGCAGTATCCCAGCCGAGCAATGCCAGAGCCAAGGCAGTTCGGTTGGCAGATTTGGGTGTTTCTGTTGAGTTTTGGTTATCGGTGTTTGTAGGCTGAGTCTCTCCGCTGGTGGATACAGCAGCTTCCTGGGCCTCTTGGAACCATTCGTCGGGAAGTCCTTTGATGAGAATATCAAGGTCAAGCCCTTCCGGAGTCTGAACGATATCCTCAGCTGGTAATTTATCGCCCATTTTCGAAATATTCGTATATCGCTTGTGAAGTCCCGATAGGGCAACATCACAATTGGTCAAAGGGAGATGTTGGATAGTGGCTAATTTGATGTTAGTCAATAAAAGTTTCACAGTGCCACATTCAGACTCACCATCACAGCTCTTATTTCGCCAGGGACAGTTTTCGCCGTGAGCACTGCTTAGCATTTTCGCATACTCATCCACCAGCCTCGCGCCTGCAGATATATAGGTTAGCATGTAACCTTGTTTAGCCGGTCCAGCAATCGGTTGGATTACTCACGGACTTCCTTCCGCTCCTCCACCTTCTCAATGTTGAAACCATCGAGCTCATCGATTTCATCTGGAAGCTTCACGACGACTGCGCCACCACAATCGCTCACGCAGGTGACGCGCATAACATCCGTACATATCCACCCACGTTTCGCCCATTGTACTTCATTGATCGGAGATGGCTTTGAAGTCCACCGGTCGACGCGGCGGAAGGTCTCTAACCGCTCGAGAAAACGTTCGCGGTCCCAAGGGACAAAGGTTGGACGCTGATTCGAATTTGCGGAGGCTATTCGGTGCCCCGGTCGCGAGATCTTGTGGATTGAGTTGCGCACTGCTGTGAGATCCGAACGGTCGGCACTAGCCAGACGTACTTTCTTGACCGATAAGTTGGCGGAGAGACGGTCTTGAACTGTCGTTGGCGTTGCAGGGGCTGATTTGGGGGCGGTGTCGGGCGCAAGAGGTTTGGATATTGATTCTAGAACACGATGAAACTTGCGCTTCTTTGATTCCAAAGCGTAGGACATATTGGCGCTGTGTTGGGAAGCAAGTCAAGTGAGGCGGATCAATACAACGCGGAGAGTTGGAGCTGCGGCGATCATAACGCCCCGAGATGTCTCCGCCTCAGGCATCAACATCAATATTGGATCCATACATGGATATTCACGGTCAGTTCTAAATGGAACGATATAGATGTCAGCATTCTCTCAATTATCAAATTTAATGTTACTGTCAACTGTTGAGTACTGTTGACAGGGCTATTCCACTCCGACAAATGCTCCACTGTTGATTGGCCGAGACATTCCGCGACATCGTACAATCCCCGAACTTCAGCTTCGTTCTTCTTTCACTCATCCGCCTTAACCATGGCTTCGCTGGGGAGCTCTCTGTCGCTATGGCGGGGTGTTGCGCCTCGTCTGGCAAAGGACTTTTTCACATCCCAATGCCTTCCAAGTCAGGGCTACGCAGCCAAATCAATCCGCCAATTCGGTGCCCTTCAGTTCCGTCAACCCACCAAGATTCAATCGAACCTTCTGAACAATAAGAAATTTTTCTCCTCCAGTCTTAACCGTTCAAATGCCGCACCAGCCGTTGCCGAGGCGGTTGAAGGGGGTTCCGCAAAAGCCAAATCGAGCTTCCCCAAAATTAGCGACAAAGCCGTTGCATACTGGCTTCTAGGCAGCGCGGCCAGTGTTTTTGGAATTGTGGTCTTCGGTGGTTTGACACGTTTGACAGAATCAGGGTATGTGGACTGGGCTGCTGGTTCTTCACGAAAACTGAGTTTCGAACGCTAACGGGGTACATTTTGGCACAGATTGAGTATCACCGAATGGCGACCTGTTACCGGCTCCCTCCCTCCAATGAACGCGGAACACTGGGAGGATGAGTTCTCAAAGTACCGTGCCTCTCCCGAATTCCAATTGCTTAACCCGAACATGACCCTATCCGAGTTCAAGTCGATCTACTATATGGAATGGATTCACCGGCTTTGGGGCCGGTTCGTCGGAATCTCGTTTGTGCTGCCTGCAGTCTACTTCGTCGCTAGGAAGAAGGTCTCTACGCCCATGGCGTGGCGTCTCTGCGGAATTGCTGGTCTTATTGGTTTCCAGGGTTTCCTTGGCTGGTGGATGGTCAAGTCTGGCCTGAAGGATGATCTCTTTGCTCCGGGCAGTCACCCGCGAGTGAGCCAATACCGTCTGACTGCTCACCTGGGTGCTGCTTTCGTTTGCTACGTCGCGATGCTGTGGAACGGTCTTGCTATTTTGCGGTCTAATCGGTTGATGGCCGACCCAGTTGCTGGAATCAACCAGCTGAATGCGCTGCGCGACCCGAAGCTGGCCTTCTTCCGCCGCTCAGTCGCTGGTATTGCTCTCTTGGTCTTCACAACTGTCATTTCTGGTGGTCTCGTCGCTGGTCTTGATGCTGGACTTATCTACAACGAATTCCCATGGATGGGTCAAGGACTCGCACCTCCAAAGGAGGAGCTTTTCGATGCCCGCTACTCCCGCCACGAGGACCGTTCCGATCTTTGGTGGCGCAACATGCTTGAGAATCCTTCTCTTGTTCAACTTGACCACCGCGCCCTCGCAGTGACCACCTTCACTGTCATTTGCGGCTTGATGGCCTACACCCGTGGCTCGCCCACCATGAAGCGCTTCCTGCCAGCACCTGCCAGAAAGGGTGTCCACGGCGTGTTTGCGTTCGCCTGTTGCCAAGTCGGACTCGGTATTACTACTCTTCTCTACCTCGTTCCCACCCCGCTTGCTTCCGCCCACCAGGCTGGTAGCTTGTTCCTCCTGACCTGGGTCATGATCTTGGGTAGCCGAGTCTGGCATCCGTCGCGTACAGCCAAGCTGTTGCAGATGGCTGTGAAGGCTCGCTCCCAGCAGCTTTCTAGCACTGCTGCCTCTGCCGTGAAGAGAGTATAATTACCTTGCTTCTCGAGTGTATGAATATGTCGGCCAGGGTTGATTGTGCCAATCAATCGCCTTGGTAATTGATACCATCTCCATTCATCTGTTGACTCGAGCGATTCTCGAGTCTTATTGTATAACTAGCATACCTACTCATTTATTGTAAAAACAAATTTTGAACTAAAATGAAGTTATTGGTTGATCTCCCTAAGTCCAAAATTGATATCCGAAAAGTGCGCTAAGCCGTTTTTTTTTTTTTGTTGCTTTTTTTCGTCTTCTTTCTCGCCCTTCATATTTCTTTGACCTGATCTTCCATGTTTCGCATTCCTCTCACCTCTCTTTTACATTGAGTCTCTAGATCTCAGTGACACCTTCCTGCTCTCGTCTGCCTCATCTGCTTCATCAACTCCACAACTCATTCCGCCATCTTCGTAGAAGGTCTCGCAGCACGCGCAGGATTGCGACGTGTTATGATGTATCCAACAGGCAGACCATCCTCACCAATAGGGATATCAGCCTCATCCTGAGGCCACTCCTCATCCTCAGCAATCGACAAGGTCATATCAGAATCAGTAGACAAAGCATCGACCTGCTGCCGCAAGACTCGGCGAGGTGCATGGACCACTCTCTGTCCATCTGAAATACATCTCACAACGCCGATAGTACTAGTAGTTCCTGCCGCGCTGCCAAAAGATCCAAGATCTAGCAGAGTTTGCGCAGCCCTCACATCGGCAATCGACTCAGCGGATTGACGGCCTTGGCCCACATCCACAGGCGGCAAAGACACCGGCATATCGCCGCCGCCCTCGGGGACATGAGTAGCTCCGAAGGAAGCATGGGTTCGGTCTCCGTTTCGGTCGGTGAGACACTTGCGGCAGATTTGCCAGCCGCAATTCTGGCAGCGAGACATACCGTTCTTGTTGCGCTTGTTGCACACATCGCACTTCGCAGTGTGGGCTGCTACTTCTGAGAAGTGAACGCCGACTCGCCGTCTCTGGACTCGGTGGTTTGCGGTTGCATCGCGGTTAATCCTTTGCCGGTTGACTTGCTTGTTCGGTGGGGCCCGATTTGTTAGGATTCGTCGAGGCACGTTGGGGGAGATATTCTCCGGGGTTGATGCTACCGGGGTGCTTGTAGATAGCCGCTCCCGGATTATTGTCTGTGCAGAGCTGAGAGTCGACTGCGTAGACGTTGGGGATGTCTGAATTGGCTGGGGTTCCTTCAGGCGTACAGGGAGTTGGGGGGTGGGAGTCAAATCTATAGGATGGAATTGTAAGCTGCACTTTTTGACCTGGGACAGAGACTTTTGCTTTCTCTTCCTTACCCCTCTCTGCGTTCACATTGTGTTGAAGCACACCAGTAGAGACCTGTTGTTGGGAAGTTAGCTATGTATTTTCCGCTCTATCTCGTATATCTAACGTTCTATACGCACGTCTTGGTAAGTAAATCCGGGCCCCCGGAAAGCCTAACTAGATGTTAGAATGAATATATCAAGGGAGAGACGGATGGATACAAACATTCTGGCTGGGGTCAGGCGGGACAAGCCATCCATTAGCTGGATAGGGTGGGTACGGGTTGGGAATGGTATTGATCTTCTGCGGTGAAGACGAGGAACTCTTATCTGTTCCATCGAACATATTGTTAGAAAGACGCGAGCTTGGCTGGTTGCGCCTGTTGGCTTCGACGGACTCGTCGAGCTCCCGAAAAGATGGAAGACTCAAGTCTGGGATGCGAGGGAGAGGCATGGTATGATGACCCATGATTGTAAAAGAGCTGTGCTCGATGGTACTTGATGATATTTGAAAAAAGTGTTGCTTTGACTAAAAATAGAAAAAGGAAGACGATGGTGATGTACGAAATGGAAATGGAAATGGAAGGTGTAGATAAAAGGCTTGGGGTTGATGAAGGTTCTCAGATGCAAGTTGTACTGGGCATTGTTATATACAGTCTCATGGGATCGGATGACGCCTGGTAATTTGAGGAGAGGGCCCCTTAAGGGCAAGCAAACAGATCGAAACCCTCGAAGATATAACACAGGTATACTTGATGAGATTTGAGCACCTGGCCAATCTCTGGCCAATCTAATTAGGGTTAACTATTTGTGAGTCTATGGCCTGCCTGCCTTCTAGCAAGGTGATGATATCTACTTTATCTTACATCAACCGATCTGGGATCAAATACAACCAAAAGATATTGTTTGAAAACTTGTTGTATGGCTTAGATATTTTTGGGAACCTATTTTATTTGCTGCATTTATCATGAAAAAGAGAATTGCATGCAAACCCCAACGCATAGCACATCAATAGCATCAACCCCCTCTTCTCGGGTAATCATGTCGTTTCATTCATTTGTGGGCTGTATATTCATCGTCAGTGATACCGGCTCGTGGAAATTTGCTGATATTAATAACATACGGATTCCTTCCTCGGGGCTGGGCTCGATGCCGACCACTTCGGCAGCGGTCTTGGGCTCGGCGGCGGTCTTGTCATCCTTCATCATGGGGAAGGTCATAACTTCCTTGATGCTGTAGTTGTCGGTGAGGAACATGACCAGGCGGTCAATGCCCATACCCCAGCCAGCAGTTGGGGGAAGACCATACTCGAGGGATTGACAGAAAGTTTCATCAACCATCTGGGCCTCATCATCACCCTGGCTCTTCTGGTTGGCCTGCTCCTCAAAGCGCATACGCTGGTCGAAGGGATCGTTCAACTCAGTGTAAGCGTTTGTGATCTCCTTGGTGCTATATTGAGTTAGCAAAAATCTGAAAGCTGATTGGCCAATTCGGGGCGGACCAAATTCGGTCCAATTTGGAAAGAACGGCAGAGTTTTAACTATAACTCTAGTGAGCACTTACCAAACGAAGGCCTCGAAACGCTCGCAAAGACCAGCATGCTCGCGGTGCTTCTTAGCTAGTGGCGACATCATTTGGGGGTGACCAGTGATGAAAGTGGGGTTGATGCAAGTGTTCTCGATGAACTCGCCAACCAGCTTGTCAAGCATACGAGCATTGGTCTGAGGAGCCGCGCAATCCACCTTCATCTTCTTCAAAATACCCTTAAGGAATTCGTTGGTCTCCTGGGTGTGGAGCTGGTCACCAGGAGGGAACTTCTCGCCACATGCCTCCTCCAAAGCAGGCATCATCTCCACTCGCCGCCATGGCGCCTTCCAGTTCACGTTGTAGGTTTCGCCATGCTGAGTGTGGAAGACTGTCTCATAACCACCAGTAACGTGCTTAACCAGGCCGGAAACGAGGTCCTCAGTCAGGTCCATCAGGTCGTACACATCCGCGTAAGCCTGGTAAAACTCGCAAGATGTGAACTCGGGGTTGTGAGTAAGGTCAATTCCCTCATTGCGGAACGACTTTCCTAGCTCGAAAACGCTACGTTTATTAGCATGGGTCGATAGAGGATAAAAAAATTGACATACCGTTCCATTCCGCCTACAATCAGCATCTTCAGGTAGAGCTCAGGAGCGACTCGCATAAAGAGGTCCATGTTGTGTTCATTGTGGTGGGTGACGAAGGGTTTGGCGGTAGCACCACCAGCAATAGCGTTCATCATAGGAGTCTCAACCTCAGTGAAGTCACGGCTCTCGAAATACTGGCGGAGGTAGGAGACAATCTTGGCCCGAGTCCGGAAGATTTCACGAGATCGGTCATTCATGATGAGATCGAGGTAACGCTGGCGGAAACGCAGCTCTTTATCCTGGAAACCGTAGTGCTCGGAAGGAATGGCATGCAGGCAAGGTGTCAGGAGAATAACCTCAGTAGCGAAGATAGAAAGTTCACCATCGTCACGGTTCTTAGGGTTAGTGCGACCTGGGAAACCGACGATACCCACAATATCACCTCGACGAAGCAGCTCATGCTGCTCCTCGAAGGGCTTTCCAGTCGCAAATTGTGCTTGGCACATTACCTGGACCTTAACACCCTCTGCGCGGATATCGTAGAAGTTCAGCTTGTTGCCGGACGTGCGCTTAGTGTAGATACGGCCACCAATGCGAACGGTGACATCGGGTCTCTGTTCGCCCTTCTGGAGGCCCTCATATTCCTTAAGGAACTTGCGGAGGTCGGTGTCAACCTTGAATTTGTGAGGGTAGGGGTCCGGCTGCTTGGTTTCGCGCAGCTTGTTGATTTTCTTGCTGCGAATCTCGAAGTATTGCTGGAATTACACATTAATTAGCTTCGCAGAAGCTGGGAATTGATATATAAGCAAGAGTACTTACGTTAGGAGTCAAGTTGGCCTCGTCCTCCTCGGCGGATGACTTCTTTTCAGCCTTGGGCTTGGGGGGAGCAGCGGCCTCCTTCTCCTTCTTCTTGGCGTCCTTCTCACGCTGCTTCTGGCGTCTCTTCAATTCAGTCTTGGAGACTTTCTCGCCGGTGACATCGTCGAGAAGAAGGTTGGCAATGGAGGCTGTGGCCTCTTGAACAGGGTTGGAGTCCGCCATGATGTGTGGTTATAGAGAACAAAAAGTGGGATGGTGGGATGGTGGGATAAGAGATGGAATTTTTGGGCGGGATCGGCATGGAACGTGATTGGACGATTGCGGGGGTCTTCCAACTTTCATGACTCATTCTTAAATTGACCCGAGTCGTTTCATGAAGGCATTGGAATAACTACATATTAACTACATATGTAAATAACGTTTCAATTTAAAAAATTATGTTCCACTGCCCAGACTCTATCTTGTTTCCCATTGTTGAGCATGGTTCGCGGATACACCATTGAAATTTAGGGTTTAGGGCACGGGTGTATCTACTACTTCCAACGATGTAGTGACTGTTATACCTAGGTATTTAACAAGATGAAGCGTTGATATGTCATGCGCTGTTGGAGAGTATATGTAGTTTTGGTTATTTGTTAGGGTATCGGCTCTGCAATTCGGTTAGCTTAGCTTACTCAATATCTAGACTTGGATACCTAGCATGGAGTAAACTGCACCTAGTACAACTAAGATAGCCCTGGTTAGCTCAGAGTGTCCTGTTAACAGTTTAAGCAGACAAAGAGGCATGGAATGCATGGTATTTATGAACTAAGATGGTTACAATGGTCAGAATTTTATAGAGCTGAAAGTCGCTTCTAATAGGGCATGGATCGATGATTATGTACCAACCTGGGTGCCCACCTGGGCAGATGTTGCAAGTGTCCCAGATTCAGTGGCCTATGGAGGCCTTTAACGGAATATTTTGGTGACAATTATCACGTCATCCTATGGGGGATAGCTCAGCAATCAGGTACTTTACTTATTCTACTGACTGCTATTAAGGATGACTGTAGCGCATTTCTCCTCGTAACTGTGGGGAAATATCTTGAAGAACCTTGGGCCAGTTTGAACATGAACAAATCCGAAGAGAATAGGGGACTTATAAGCTGCGTTAGCAGGTTCTGGCTTATGAACGACACTTGAAGCCACCATGTTACAGGCAGTTTCACTCTAGCATACTTGTTTCAAGAGGATGTACTTCCTTGTGAATAGTTGGTCTGCACTGTAAAAACCCGGAGCAAGGAAAAGGGAAATATGTGCCTGTTGAAATAAAGTCTCACTAGCACCTTGTAGCCACACCGTAGTGTCGACTATCTTCCATCTCTTCTTCTACTTGTCGTGTACGCGAGAACCTCTTGCACCCCTTCTTTTTTCCCATCATTTGCCATTCTCTAGCTATCCCAATCATTTTGCTTGCTTTTTTTTTTTTTTTACCACGCTTCTCTCCTTTTCATTTCCATGCTCCTACCCTTGTTCCTCATCATCTTCCTTCGTTCATCCGCTTTCTCGACCTCGACCTCGCCTGTCTCCTCCTAACTGGCATCACCAATCCATTTCTGTCGGCAACCTTTGCCTCTTGGCTCTTTCTTTCGCCCCTGGTACACCTCATCACCTGCAACGGTTTTCAATATTTTGGCCAGCTAGGCCTTGAAAATCACGCTCGACTCTGATTGTCGTCCACCTTCGTATCCTCTGCCTTTGATATCTGTGTCTCTTGGTATGTCCCACCTTACCTTCTCCACTGCCACTGCCACCGACTTTAGCCACCATTCCTTTTCTCCTGTCTTCCCGGTCTTACAGCTAACGATAATCCCCCCAGACTTGATCATTCGTCATGTCAGGCCTTTATGACCGAGTTCCGAAGTCGGAACCTAGCCCAGCAATTTGTGAGTCTAGTCTCTATTTCCAAAGGCAGTAATCTCGCTAACCAGCCACCTCATTCCCATAGCTGGCTTAGCTGTTCCAATGCCCGTGTCTCGGGGCCTCCGTGACATCACTCCAGTCCACCCAATTCCCATGGCCACTCTTGATAACCTCACGATGGACATGAAGAATTTGGTAAAGAAAATTCAAGACCTCAGTCACTTGGGAATCGAAGACAGCAAAATTATGCTTCCAAAGATATGTGTTGTCGGTGATCAGAGCACCGGAAAGAGCTCCCTTATCGAGGGTATTTCCGAGATCAAGGTTCCCAGATCCGAAGGAACCTGCACGCGATGCCCCCTGGAGATCAATCTCTCCGAAAGCGACGACAGCTGGAAATGTGTGATCCACTTGTCACGCCGCTACATCTTCGATCCGTCGAAGCGAATGAAGATGCCGAAGAAGTCAGAGCCATTGGGGCCATGGATTGCCCTTGGTGGCCAGGATGATGAACACTTTATCACCTTGGACAATAAAAAGGATGTCAAAGGGGCTATCTTGTGCGCCCAGTTAGCAATTTTGAACCCTAGCACGAATTCGCAGGATTTTCTTCCCGGATTGGCTGACATGGAACAGCCGCCTCAGGTTAAGTTTTCTCCGAATGCTGTCCGCTTGGATATCTCCGGTTCTGGTCTTCCAAATCTGTCCTTCTACGATCTGCCTGGAGTGATTAGCCAGACCGAACAGGATAATGAACGCTACCTGGTTAATCTGGTCGAGAACCTAGTCAAGGATTATGTTTCTCAAGAGCATTGCATTGTACTTCTCACCCTACCCATGACAGGCGATGCAACAAATTCCAGTGCTGCTCGTATTGTTAGGGACATCAAGGGCGCGAAGGAACGTACCCTTGGAGTCCTGACCAAGCCTGATCGCCATCCCCCCGACGAAGCATTTGATCAATGGCAGGAGATCCTGGATGGCAGAAAGTTCAAGCTAGGTCATGGTTATTATGTCATTCTAAACAATCCTGATCCACTTGTCAGTCATACCCAAGCTAGGAAGGAGGAGGAGATATTCTTCGGTTCTTCACTGTGGACACGGGACCTCGCCGCATTCCATGACCGATTTGGCACCACACAACTTCAAACCGCACTGTCTGACCTTTTGATGCGTCAGATCTTAGGATCTTTGCCGTTGATAATTGCCCAGATTGATGAAAAGTCGAAAGCTATCGATGAAGAACTTCAAACATTGCCCAATCCTCCTACTGAAGATGTGCAGCGGATCCTTTGGGCCAAAACCTCAGATCTTGAACGGAAAATTCATGAACTGTTCGATGGAACACTCGGGATCGAGAATGGTTCTTCGCAGCGAAAGCCGCTGCAAGAGCAGTGGAACAAGATCGTTATGGATCTCCAAACTGCACTCACAAAGACACGCCCCATCTTGGACGTTGCTGCGCAGAAGGACAACGAAGACTTGGCAGAAGTTGTGGATTCCGATTGTGAAATGAAAATTGTGGGCGTCAGCATATCAACTCCAAAGAAACGAAAGTCGCCTGCGAGTGGTACCTCTATGTCAGAACCGTCAACTCCGAGAAGAACCTTGTACAGCACCTCCCACTTCGAAGGATCAAAGTCTACCCGAATCAATCTCCAGCAGCTCACAGAACTCAAAATTCGCTCTAACACGGTTGGTGTGCCAAACCAGCTTGATCCACGAGCGATTGAAAATCTAAACAAAAGGAGCGTGGAGCACTGGGGAAAGCTCATGGAGATTTTCCTAAAGGCTACCCATAGCCTTGTGCACAGAATGTTGATTGAAGCTCTCGAGGAAGAATTTGCCCAATATCACCAGACTGGTCTGTACCAGGAACTCAACAGAATACTGAAGGAGTTCATGAGCAAGCTCCGCCATGCGCATCTTCAGATCGCCAAAGACTATTGCAAGTCTGAGCGTGAGATACCGTTCACAATGGCCCAAAGTCAACATCAAGTTCTTATGCAACAGGCTTCGAACTCTCTCAAAGCTCGTCGACTCAATGCTCGTGCCAGTTGCTGGCTTAAAATCCGTGGCCACGATATGAGTGACGAAAGAATTCCCGAAAAGATCAAGAAGATTCAACCAGAGCAACTTGGTCCTGATAGATACTCCCAAGAACTTGAGATGATGGCCGTAAGTCTTCTGGGGGCGATTTCCTGAAATGTACTAATTGCAACAATAGAGCTCGCTAGCCTACTACGATATCGCATCTTCTCGTTTCCTAGACGTCCTGTGTCAGTCCACTCACATGAAGTTGTTCCGGGCTTGTCGTGCAAGTGTCGTCAATACCCTTCGTGATGACCTGGAAATTTTCGGTGATAATGGTGAGCATGCACCTTACATTTATCCAGTATGAGGTTGAGAAATATTCCTAACAGGGTACTTAGGTCGTGCCCGATGCCTTGACCTCATGACAGAGGATCCCGAACGCCAGCATCGCCGTGCTCAGTTACTGAAAGAGCGTGAAAAGTTCAGCAAAGCTCAAGAGTGGTTGGACTCTGTCCGAGACTCGGATGTCGAAATGGAGGATTCTGATCAAACTGCTTTTGCAGACATCAAAGAGGATTGGTGATTTTCAAAATTGTCGTCCTCCGTTATCTTCACGATTTTACTACTTACACTGGTGTTGATTGACCCAAATGTGGGCTTGAGTTGTTAGTTCTCGAGGAATGCCTGTGAGCTTCAACAATGTTTCGCATATGATGGAGGGAGATATGAACGAGATCAAAAATGTAAAAAAAAAATGAATAGCACGCAAAATACGAAAAAAAAGGAAATTGTTCAGATTAAAATCAATCCACAACGACCTATCAACACCAGCCGGTGGTTCGGTTCGTAAATATCACCAATATCAAAACAAATTTCGGATCTTTAAGCTACACCCACTATTGTACAGCAGCGCTGTCATTGAAGAAGAGCTTATGCTCAAGCGTTTACCTTGGGTCGGAACTATCCTTGTATACTTATTGCTTTGGCCTACGGTATAAGATACTGCTAGTATCTGCGGACAGAAAGAAGCGAGCCGATGGGAGCATTCTATTCCTAGCTAAATTTGTCTACCCAATCATCATCTGGCATCATATTGTTCTTCACCATGTGCTTAGGGAGAATTCCGTTCCTACCGAGGTTCCTCCAAGCGGTGAAATAAAAAGAAAATGAAGACATTATTCGTTAGATCGATTACCTCGCTTGCATGATTACCCCACAGACCCGAGAGTGGTCATGCAGGGATGAGGATCTTGAAAATCTTTGATCTATCAACCCGAATTCGCCCACCCATAGGTTCGCAGCAGGTAGACAACAGCGAGTTTGGTTTGGGGGAACGGTCCATCCCCCATGCCTTTACCTGCCCACTCTTGCCATGTAAGCTCTTTGGGCCTCAGTGGGTAATTTTGCTTATTGGGAAAGACTAACTCCCCACTTGCATTGGTCTTGGCTTTCCTATTGGCGTTCCTGTCCAAGTTCTTGTTTCGCTCTTGGTAGCAGTTCCCACATATGATACGATCCCAGGTAATGTTAGTGTCCTGAGTGCGATCGAGGGATTTCTTGCCGAGCGTCATTGCATAAAGACAGTGACAATCTTCGCACCGGATCTCTGAATTTTTCAGGTGGCTGATGGTGATTCCGAAACATCCACCATCTCGGCCCTTCACATGACACAGGCTACAGGTCCACTCTTTTAGGAATGGGCACCAGTATCGCACATATCTCCACTCTTTGTTAGAAACCGGCTTGATAGCCTGCTTCTGAAAGCGGCGACAGCAGTGCCAACAGTCTCTCCTATCCCTTTGCTTTCTGAAGTACTCGTCCGAGTTTCTCTCCTCCCAACTTGACAAGTATATCGAGGCGGTCTTCCAAGCAGGTAGGTTGGACCCTCCACACACTAAACATGTACAGTTTGCGTAGTCGTTTCCTTTTGCTGCTTTTTCCACGTCTCTTTTGTTTTTCATGGCACAAACTGAGCACCAATCGTCCCCAGTCTTTTGCCCATTTGAATCGTAGGCAGTTCGAGTGCCATTTGGTCTCTGTTGCCCCACACTTTGCACACTGCCTTTTCGTTTTCGCTGGTTGACCAGCTTCGTTCTTCGACCAGTGTCATCACTTGCTCGAGTAGGCGAACTATCCATCTTGTGTCCACAAATTGAAGATCGATCTCCTCCAACTGCTTTGGAAATGTTGAACATGTTCAAGTATGCGAACGAGCCATCTCGTATCCGTGTGCGAAAAATCGATCCTCTCTAACTGCTTCGGAAAAATCGAAATCTGCCGGTAAGACGGTGCAAGCCCTTCGAACCTGGCATAGGAATAGAGATACATCAATTATTGCTGTCGATTCGCCGGAACTGAACAAAATGGTCGACACAGCGCCCGGAAACGCGTCTTATGCTTGATCCCGCATAAAGCCGTAATATGAGGTTAGGGCGAAGTGGTGTTCTCAACGCGTCCACTCAAGGTGAGTTATGGGGACCTTCGGAACCGGTGGTCAATGCATGCGTGAAGCAAGGACGGAAAAGACAGGTTGTAGGCGAGTGGCAACCCTCGGGGATGGTTGACAGGTTCACTGGTGGGGTATGGGATCCACTCAGTATTCAACCGGTCGAGAGGCTGTCGATTTGATAAATGAAGTGGTCTACTGCCCATTGTAGTAGACCGTATGGGGGTTTGATGCACTTTGGAAGGATCGTCAGTTAATCAGTCGAGGTGGGATGGTGACTGCCCAGGTGTTGAATGAAGTACCAAGGTATTAAGATGGGATCTACACAGCTTGGGTGAAGATCTCTAATGGCGTGGAGACATGTGGTGCGAATTTGACAGGAACTTGAGGTGTTGAAGATGCAAACAAGCTTCGACCGAGCAAGGTGCTTATAGCCCGAGAGGAGATAGGATTGACAGCATTAGATAGCGAGATGTGAAGATGCTAAAATATGAAAGTACCCAGTGCATATACGTTGAAGAGGGAAGAAACTTTTAAGAGGAACCACAAGGCAGCAAGCGGCATAAGTCATATGATCTTCAACCACCTAGGCAACGGGATAGGATGGCGTAAAACATTAGATAACAATCTAAGATTAGAATAAAGTAAGCGTAAGGTCGAAAGAAAATGAAGGTGAGGCCAAGGTGAGAGTAAGGTGTAGACTTCCGCATAATCCATTTTTGGTCGAAGTTCTCGACCCAGAACCCAACCCAGTTTAGGCCAAGTTCGACCTAGTTTGTACATGAAAGGGGATCTTTGCAGTCATAAAATAGCTCAATCCGCTGAATTATGCACATAATTAGCGAGTTTGTTTACATATGTAGTTTGTAGCCCAATTTGGGGCCCCAGAACCTAGTACTGGTTTACCTAGACTGGGTTGGTTGGGTCTGGGTTTTATTGGGTCGTGCGGAAGACTAGTAAGGTGAAATAGAGTGAGAGTAAAGTGAGAACTCAGTGAGAATAAACGAAGCCATGGATATTTTATACTTGGGCTGGCTATTCTTAGAGTGTTTATGAAAATCAATAGCGATATACATATTCCGGGGGCTTGTAGAAGCAGCAAAGCTAGGCCTTATTCGTCTAATGATAGTTAGCACATTCTTTAGGTCAACTAGGGTATTTATAACGATATAACTAGTAACTGAGGGGATCTTCTTACTTAAGGCCTAATTTTACCCATCGTAGTACTCCACTACAACAATCTTTGGCCTAGTCGACCTGATCCACATGGCTACCATCAGTTCGCGGCCAAGATAAGGACCCCTGCCGCTTCGTCATAAGAAAAACCCGACAGCGTACACATTAATCTACCAAACGAAAGATAAAAAAGATCTTGGGTGTTTTTCGTGTTGCATTGCGAACACACTATATAACTAATAAATTGGCTTACGATATAATCCAAAAAGAGTGGAGTCAAGACCTTGGAGTTGGCAACTTGGTTTGGCTTGTCAAGTACGGCATGGCTATCTATATGCCCATTGAAACCTATTTAGGCAAAGGAACAGAAATTCTTCATACCTTCGGTTCGAGAAGACAAAGACTAGAACAAGTGATCACCCGGATGTTGGAATGATTTCGTAAGCGCTGAGAGTAGTGGACCCGCTAGGTAGTACAGGGGGAAGGATTACACTTGGGCAGGCACCAATTTATACACAGAGATGTAAATTGTACATACACAGAAAGCAACATGAGGGGTAATCAATGGCAAATGAGGGGATTCAGAGCATCAATAGGAGTTTGGATGTCTATAAGTTGACAGCGATCATATATCATAAATGGATAATTGAGTGGTAGGAGAAGCAAACCTCTTGGAAGTTCGACTATTATAAAATGTCTATAATCTACATATGTCTAACTACAAACATGGGTGAAGTGTAGTCTACAAGAATGAATATTATTTACTCTTACCCTTGACCCAAGCCCTAACTGCCGTCGGGCACGTTGTATAGGAACACACCGCCAATGAAGGGCACGTCATTGCAGTTATCAGATCTCAGTACTCCACAACTGCTGAGATAGTCAGACATTGTTAAAAATAGCCCCAGCAAGGGGCAGATATCTTCTAGTATAATTCAACGAAAATCTATTTACTAATCATGCCAATTCCATAAACCAACGAGGCATTGAAAACGTGTGAGACCGAAAGGAGTAAAATGTTGTCAGGTGCCCCACCGAAAGCGTCGTCTTGGCGTTTTTTGAGAGCTTCGGGGTCTCTCTGGCCTTTTGAGTTCTTGTGATTCTAGTCTTCACATCTCTTTGCATACTGTCATGCTTAATATACCAATGCGTGATAATCACAATACTCAGGCTTCCACCAAGGCCGTGATCTTGGTGAGTAACGGAATCATCCCGATAAACAATAACTGACACTTTGTCCACAGGTCGGAGGCCCCTCAAGAGGCACCCGGTTCCGCCCATTGTCCCTCGATGTGCCCAAGGTATGCATCTGCATCTCATTCAATCGCCCATATGTATATGCGCTGGACACAAGTTGACATTGCGATCCCCATAGCCCCTATTCGAAGTCGCCGGCCACCCCATCATCCACCACTGCCTGAAGGCGGTGGCTAAGGTCCCCGATGTACGCGAAGTGATGCTGGTCGGATACTATGATGAGAGCGTATTCCGGGATTTCATTAAGGATGCCTCGAAGGAATACCCCCAGCTCCGCATCCTCTACCTGCGGGAGTACACAGCGTTGGGCACCGCAGGTGGACTGTACCACTTCCGTGATGCGATCCTCAAGGGCAAGCCCGAGCGCCTGCTGGTGCTGAACGCTGATGTCTGCTGCTCATTCCCGCTGGGCGAGATGATGCGACTATTCGAAGAGAAGGACGCCGAGGCTGTGATCCTGGGTACACGGGTGTCGAACGACACCGCAACGAACTTCGGATGCATCGTGTCCGATTCACACACCAAGCGTGTACTGCACTACGTCGAGAAGCCCGAGTCGCACATCTCCAACCTGATCAACTGCGGTGTCTACCTCTTCGCTACAGAGTGCATCTTCCCCGCCATTCGCAGCGCCATCAAGCGCCGCACCACCCGCCCCCGCCTCCTCTCGTACCCCTCCTCCGACAACCTGGAGTCCTCCTTCGTCGCCACCGGAGACGACGAGGACGCTGAGAAGAGCGAGGTCCTCCGTCTGGAGCAAGACATCCTCTCCGATCTGGCTGACAGCAACCGCTTCTTTGTCCACGAAACCAAGGACTTCTGGCGCCAGATCAAGTCCGCTGGTTCTGCCGTGCCCGCCAACGCCTTGTACCTCCAAAAGGCATTCCAGGCCGAGTCCCCTGAACTCACGGCCCCCTCCGCCACCATCGTGCCTCCGGTCTACATCCACCCCACTGCCTCGGTCGACCCCACCGCCAAGCTCGGCCCTAACGTCTCCATCGGCCCACGTGTCGTGGTCGGCGCCGGTGCCCGTATCAAGGACTCGATTGTCCTTGAGGACTCCGAGATCCGCCACGACGCTTGCGTCATGCACTCCATTATCGGCTGGAGCAGCCGTGTCGGTGCCTGGGCTCGCGTGGAGGGCACTCCCATCCCCGTGGGCAGCCACTCTACCAGCATTGTCAAGCAGGGTATCAAGGTGCAGAGCATCACCATTCTTGGTAAGGAGTGTGGTGTTGGCGATGAGGTCCGCGTGCAGAACTGCGTGTGTCTTCCTTACAAGGAGCTTAAGCGGGTATGTTCTTATTTTTCCCCCTGTCTTTTCCATGTGCCATTAACTAACATTCTATATAGGATGTGTCCAACGAGGTCATTATGTAAACTGAGCTTTGGTCATATTTGGTCGAAAAGCACCGCCCTGATCTTCTCGTTGATGCGACTTCATTGTCGGGTTTGTCTCATCTCATCTTATCTTCTGGTTGGATGGTTATTTGCTTCATGAGCGCAGCCGATCTAAGGATCTTTTTGTTTTAATCTATCTAGAACGAACCCCAAAATGCAAGAGTCGTTAGATTTCTCGTATTCTCGCATTGCTATCTGGTATATCTGCGCAGTTTTATTTCCCTATAAATATCACATATCCCAGTCATTGATCCCCCGAAAACGCCGTCATGCAGAAATTCGTGTCATCAACCCAAAACACCCGAATATAAACCTCGAGATGCAACCCCAGATGAATATCGTAAAACCCCATTAAATCAAAGAAAAACAAAAACAAAAACAACCCGCCCCCCGGTACAAAAACGCTCACTCAGCGATACATAGCAGGGTCATACCCAGTATTCTGCGCCGGCCGCTGATGTCCATCCTCATCAACTGAACCAAACCGCACTCTGGGTGCACCACGGTGACTCATCCCAGGCGCAGTATCATAATAATTCTGCGCCTCACCAGTATGCGCATGCTGCATATTATGCTCATAAACCGAAGGTTCCTGCGCATACGTCTGACCATGCGCACCGGACATCGTAGGGGGCACATTATCATAATCATGCAAAGCGGGAGTAGACTCGCTGTGACGCTCATCCATCTTAACATCGAATGCGCCCGAGTCATCGAGACCCGGGTGTGAGCCCATGGGGTCGTAAGCGCCGAGACGAGTCTGACGCCGACGCACGATCACATCCAGCCAGACTGCGGCGATGTAGCTGACCACGCCGATGATGGTGAATGTGAAGAGGGCTTTGTAGCTTCGGCAGACGGCGATGCCGGTCGAGTTGCCCCAGTAGGTTGTTGTGCATGATGTTGTTATTGTGCTTGAAAGGCTCCAGCTTAACAGGCCCAGGGATAGGGCCCAGAGGATTGTTAGGAGGATGTTGAGGGATATGGAGAGTTTTGTTGATAGGCCGCAGCTGCAGTGTATTACTGAGGTTAGGATTATGTTGAGGAGGGAGAGGCCTGATGAGACGAAGAGCTATTGGGGTTAGTATTTATTTGAGAGAGGATAGTTTCGTTTGAAGGGTTACTTACCACCAGGAATGAATATGGTAGTTTGTAGCCATCGGCGTGGAGGTGGTAGGTAAACACTGCCAAGATCACGCCTACGACGAGTGAGGAGAGAGAGATCAGGAAGCGGATGAGATGAAATGGCAATGGCGGGTAGGCCGAGGGTTTGACTGAAGGTGATCGCATGGTGAGATATGAAAATGTGAAGATGTGAAGATGAAAGAAAAGAAATCAATAGTGGAAGTGCCCAGGTGGAAGCCCCTACCTAAGGTCAACATCTTCATGATCGGCACTCCACTTTGACACGTTTGGGCGTGCGTCATGGCGCTATTTTTATATTTTCAGCGGCGCAGCTTTGTATCTTCGTATAATTGTCTCAAATAAAAGAGTTTAGATTAAATTGTGGGGATATGATATTCTAATATATAATGTAGGAGATCGAATCTCAAGATATCTCAAGATCAACACTATCCTCCTTCAATAGTTGAAATCCTCATCACCGTTTTTCCTACCAACCAATTTAGAACCATCCGCTTCAACACAACGTCTGCGCAGAGGTACCAAACATCTGCTAGCGCAAGGTCTAAGTCCCCGGCTTGCATGCGTTGTCGTATCATTTGCACCCCAGACAACTGAATGCCGTCCCACATCTGCCGATCGGCTCCATCGAGCTCCACATTTGTGATAAACAAAGTCGTTGACAGGGGCAACTGTGGCCACCGCTGGAAAAGATCACGCACCAACCTCAGATCATTAAACGAGATTGACCAGAATAATCACAACTGGGGGATATCCAATTCTGGAATTTGTACGAGAAGGGGTGTGATGCCAATCCCGCCCGCCACGTAGGGGGCGATGGACTTTCCAGTGGAAATAGTGAAGCTGCCCCCAAATCCTTTGAGTGGTATTTCTAGGCAGGCTCGCTCATTCACCTGAGAGAGATATCGAGTAACGGGGCCATGTCGTCGGACCATGATCTCGAATTGATCAGGGGGTATATCGCGACCAGGATACGAAGACACGGTAAAGGTTTGAACATAGTCGTCGTTCAGGCTGGTTGGATCGTCGTCTCGCATGTGGCTGTAGCCCATATTCAGCTCGTCTTCGAAGGACAGTGCGGCATACTGTTCCGCATTCCATGTAATTGGTTTGCGGCCGCCGATGCGGAATCAAAAACGTTGGATGGAAGGTGCAATATAATGTCTTTTTAATCAAAGTTGCCATTGAACCTGAACCACTATGTTCTTGGGAGCCAGGGACTTGTTTTTGTTTCTCGTTGACGAGATATCGCACGCTAAGATTGTATGGCGAAGAGTCTCCGGCCTCGCCACGAAAGCCCAATCCATTTTCAACGAAGATTGCTGCTGCAATGGTGACTCGCACGGCGAGATTCGATATTGGTAGGATAGCAGCGTCTTTCCCAGCTAATATGTCACTCCATCCAGTGAAGTAAAGGACGTTCCATCGCATTGATTTCATGAGATACGGACTATAGATTTTGCATTCTTACATCTCTTTTCCTATGCTTCTAAACATATATCCCCGAGGCATTTTGCTATTGATCCGTATCACCGAACTCATCTACCTTCGTTAGCCCGCGACTGTGAGCCATAAGTAGCTGTTTCTAGCAAGGATTGAATGAATGGTCAGACGAGATCAATTGAGAATAACAGCATTGAAGTACCTCAGTTAAATCTCCTCAAGTCAGCCATGGCGGGCATTTTGATCCTTCCTTGGCCGTAAGGTTCCAAAGTTTGCTCTTTTTGAGTCAGGCAAAAACGTTCCCTAGTAGTAACCATGGCACGACCGCAGAGACAAGTCATCATTGTTTCTTGACTTCGCCAACTCGTAACCTCCCGACGCTACCTTCCACCCTCTATTTCAGAAGCTATCAAGTTTACACTCCTCCCCACAAGTTGTCAACCTCACTATCAACGCTCATGCGCACGCGCTCTCCTCCAGCATAATGTCACCCACGTGGTTCCGGAAAGGCATCGACCCAGGCACTATCATCACCCTTGATCAACCCGAGACTTCGAAATGGAAAGTTGTGAAGAAGTTGAATGAGTATGATCACCAGCTTGACGAAGACCGGCGTCGCCTTGGTTTTCACTTATCCTTCGCCTGCACCAAACTCCTCTGTTGCGATCCTGAAGACCATACAAAGCTTGCCTTCATGCGAATTTACCTGCAAGTCCCCTTTCGCGGTACTGAAATGGATGATGCACGAACGAGAGCCAGCCAGGCCATGAAACGCACCCCGCAAGAGCTAATCGCCTATCAAGACCTTACTCAGAAACCAAGCAATACCCCAAAGCTCTTGGGACACAAAACTACCGTGCAGGGCAAATCAGGTCTAGTCCCGGGTGGGTTCGCGGTCTGGTTGGTGTGGGAGATGGTGCCAGGGCTGCGCCTTGGCAACAAGAATGAGCCCGATCCATTCTGGACTCTTAGTGATAGTGAAAGAGAAGAAATCCGCGTTTCGTTTGTGAAGACTTTCGCGTAAGTCGCTACGCCTATCTCTACCCTTTAGAATTAACATCAACGGAACCCTAGTGAGATGAGGGAGGTTGGGTATCTCCCTGATAAGACTGCGCTTAGTAGCCTAGTCTGGCACAAGGACTCAAACACCCTGTATGTCTAAGCACAACAGTCTTCGCCTTGAATGCACAAGCTAATGTCGATGATCTATAGTTACTTCATTGGATTTCGCGATTGTAATTTTGGCCAACCCAAAGGCCCGGTTGTGGCTGCTAAATGGGTAGCGCATTACGGGCTCGCGATACCAAACTCCAATGAATGGCTTAAGAAGGGATGGAATCAGGATACCTCAGCCTGGAAATGGTAGTTCGCGCAGATCTGAGGAAGATGAATGATTAAGAAAAGTGTTACTCTGACATCTCTATGGCTATTTCAAGAGATGGCGTAGGGAGTGGTTTGATTGACTAGGTGGTGGTTACTTTTTTTGGTTGATGTGACAGGTTTCTCAATTGTATTGAGCGTTTCGACGTCTTCTTACCGTTTCAAGGGCTTTCATTGCTGCCCATTCCAGTGTAGATGTCTTGACGACCTGTTATGATGACGATGTCAATGCAGGAAGTTGGCGGTAGAAGCCGGATAGGTGGTCCACGTCAGGTTTGATCAGTCTTTGTAGTATAGGATGTGGACAATCAACTGCGCCTGTTCTGCGTCTCCGTTAGAAAGTGAGCCCGTCACCATCCTGCCATACAGCTTCACTCTTCGACGGTTCTTCAGATTGACTGCTCGCCCTGGAATCATCTTGTCTGTGTATGCGTCAGTTTAATTGCCGGGTCAATAATGCCTGCACAACGGGGTCGTATTTGCTGCCCACCTGTGCCTAGAGTCCGACTAGGGATTCGGCAACTGGCGTTGCAAAGCCCGCTGTGCCGCCCCATATCGTTGACCATGGCCGGCCTTCGAAAATCTAATGTACCCAAGGGATGCGGCTCTCGGGCTCAGGTATAGGGCTGTCTGGTTGTCGCAGTGAGGGACTCGAAGCCTGTGGTGTAACTTCTCCTCGCCCTGGTTCCAGGGCACAGTATTTGTTAGAAGCGAGGTCATCTGGTTGGTATGTTTGAAAATAGAGGTACTTACCATTTCAAAAGCAAAAATTGCAGGTACCTAGGTATGGAATATTCACCGGCCATCCTCCGCCCTTGTGTGTCTAGGCCTTGGATGACAGAGCTACCTATGTATATATGGAAGCTTTAAGAACAGTCAATATCCCTATAAAAAATTCCTCTGCACAGTTTATACGTTTGGCGCCTTTACATACATCCTTTTGAAAAACACTACTTAAAAAGACATAAAGACCAGCTAAAAAGACCATCTGAAAAGAACGAGTAATAACATGTTGATAGGTCTTACATATAGCCTCCCTAATATCATAGGAGACTAAAAAAATGGATCGGAGTATTCAAGTCTTATAGAGGCCATATAAACGTCCGACTTTTGTATAGTACTAGAATATGACTCTGTACCTGTTTACCAGTGGACAATGAATCAGCTTACTTTTAAATATGCAATAGGATTCACAGCAATGAGTGTTCTGAATAGTTTCAAGCATAGCCCGTGGATATATATACATAAACCACAGTTTACCAAATCCCCCGAATTATAAGACCTAACCATTTCCCTGCCAATTATTAAAAATTATTAAAATGTGCGTGATTTGATGTTTAAAATCTCAATTCGGGCCTTGTGAGAGCTTGTATAGTGACGAACCAATCAGAACTGCCGCGCCGCGTTATCGACTCTCTGCCTTCGGAGAGCTTCGTTATAAAAACAACCTACACAACCTACACCCAACCTACATTTCCACTTTACAGCTCAATATTGTGCAACAAAAGCAAACAATTCCACCGGTGTCACACAACACACGGGCTTTCCCCGCCCGCATTCCTCACAAAACAGCTCCTTCGAAAGCTTGAGAGTCTTCCACCCCTCACCATGTCGACCTACGAAAGTACGGATCCGTATCAGTCAAATAAAACCTGAATCCCCCAAACTAACATCATTTCCAGTTGAACACAATACCACCGACCCCTCAACGGCCCCAACTGCGCGCCGCCGCCGCCCCGACCTCTCCACCTTCTTCTCAACCCTGTCCCAGATTACTCCAGCTCCCGACCACAGACCCCATGCAGTCCCAGTTCCAGGAGATGTGAGCGCAGCATTCTTCTCTCTCGCCGAGGCGTTGGATATGATGCGCCGTGAGACCGATTCCGCGCCGCGCCCCGACGCGCAGGAGGGCGCCGATAACGCCGACTCAAATACCGGTCACGAGCTGTTGACCACGATGATCCAATCCTTGCTCGCACAGGCAGATATGCCGCCGCGCGAGGTGGAGGGTGTTGATGAAGAATTCTGCGATAGTAAGACAGTCCCTTAGCTTGCTGTGTTCATCGATTTCCCCCGCACTCAGCGGGGCATTCCAATGTTCCTTTGTCACCTGTATAACTAACCACGCCTCGATTTATCTAGTGCTCGAACGCGTCCCCAAAGCATCTCTCAAGCCCGATGATACCTGTCCTATTTGCAACAACCCCTTTGTGGAAGATCCCTACCCGCTCATCGTCCAGCTGCCCTGCCACCCGACACACCGCTTCGATATGGAGTGTGTGCGGCCCTGGCTGCGGCTGCGCGGGACGTGTCCTCTTGACCGTGTGGACTTTGCGAAGCAGTTGAGAGATAAGGCGGAGGCGAAGAAGAAGCTCGTTGAGGAAGATGAGGAGGAGGAATGGGATGGCATGTATGGCTAAAGAGATCTGACCTGATACTATGCAGGCCCTTGAATTTTAAGCTGCCCACTGTGATGGGGATTACAAGGCAGTATCTCCTATCTTAGCATGAGTGAATGACTGTTGCATCTATCGATCATGTACATTCGAACCAAATGGATATTGAAAGTATGATACTTGAACAAAACACAAGCTATCAAGCAGATAAATCGTGTGAAAAGATGCGGAGAACACGTAAAGGAGGATAACAATTGTGTTTTCGGTGTATAATTTAGGCATCTTGGACCTAAAACTGCATTCGCACCTACATTTCGAACCAACATCTCGAGGCCTTTCCGGAGATTTATGGATGCACACTCAGTCTATGACTCCTTTGTCCCCTTATTGGCTTTCATACATGTAATCTAATTATCAAACCTACTTGAAAGACCCTTGTCCTCTCTTTGACCAATGTTTAGGACAGTTTCATTCATATCCTTGTCTAAAAAAGGGCATACAACTTCATTGTTAATCTGAAATCCTCGTCGAGTATCTTCCCGCTGCTCACATATAAATACCAAGTCCCCCAGCCCTGATTTTGATATAATTCATCATTCCACATCACATCCTCTCTACAACCCATCTTATCATTCTCTATCCTTCAATCAAGTCACAAACAGTGACACCACTCACGGATTATCACACACATAATCAGGGTATTTTCTCCTCCCATTCCTCCCTGTGAAACTTTATCTACTCGCTTACTCCCAGATTACCATCATCACCTCTATACACCTCAACCACATTTGGCAACCCAGATACTTACATACCTGTAAGTATCCCAGCCCATCCAATCACCCAAAATGTCTACCACAGAGACTCTCGCTCTCATTTTCTTTTTACTTCTACTGGGATTAACCATCATGATAATCATGATTCTTGTCAAGGAGTGGACAGAGTACCAAGCTACGCAATTTTGGCCGAAACTGCGTAGTACTCGCACTCTCGATCTGGAATCGGGCCTCAGTTTACTCGAGGAAATCCGGCATCTGACATGGCGCGTCGAGCAGATGGAAACTGATATTGGTCGCAAGTTCCAGCTTGCTGGATACTTGGCTCAATACCATGATGAACCTCCATCTCCTTAACCGCTCTCTATCTTGTCCAGTATGCTTTCCGATAACAGACGCAAGACACAAAGACTGATCTCAATCTGGATGCCTCCTATGCGTAGGGATAGTGCATGAGATGTTCGGTCTGAGTGCGTTGTCCCAGTTTCTCTGCCCTATACTCCCATGTCTTTCGAGGCGGCTCAGCTTGATGGAACTGGAGTGGGTGGGGTTATTATATTATATATGTTCGGCTAGCACTAAGGTGCAGTACCGGCGGTTTATCATCAAAAGATGGTGATGTTAGAAAAGTTTGAATGTGCCTATGGTGGACATGGTTATGTTCAATTGATATCTGCCATAGGTGCTGTTACTGTTTATCTTAGTTTTGGAGGTGTCTATGAAGACGCTGTGGAAATGGCGGAGAGAAGGACTATAACTACCTACATAGTTATATAGGTGTAGTTATATAGGTGTAGTTATATAGGTGTCTTCAACCAACTCAATATCTGTAGTCTTGGTAAAATGGTTAGATAAAGACTACTGTTGAAATACCCTGCTAGACATTAATTAAAATGTACGACTACCTTACTGGTCAATGGTAGAAAATAATTTGCTAAGTTTGGAAATGTATATCACCCTAGTCCGCTAGTAATTTGAATAATCTTGTAGTCAGTAAGATCCTTGATGTTTTCCGTGTAGAGGCCAGGAAGATCTGCAGGCACAAAGATCGGATGTTCAGGCATCAGCCCGTGTAGACCCACCTTCTTTTGAAAATATGCGATAGTTCTAACAACCCCCATGCCCAGGTAGATATCTCTATATACCATGGATCCTACAGAAGAAACGAATTGTAATCGTTCAAAAGTATCATTCAGAGATTTTTTTCTGTCTACTCTATGTACAGTAACCGGTACAGAATTCATCACACATAACTTCAATGTTTCATCAAATTTCCTCAGCCCGAGCCTTGGACCGGATGGCCAACTTGCCTGCCTGGTTGATCATCGCTTCGTAACCACTCCGCTCCAGCACACCGCCGTCCTTGTTGACAACCTCACGAGCCTCGAGTTCTTCAACAAGGCGCTGGTTTTCACGGTTACCCTCCAACAAGAACTTAAGACACATTACAGCATGCTCTTTGATGTATGGGTTGTGGGCGTCGAAAGCGGTGCAGCAAAGAATCGCCTCAACACCGCCGTAACGACGGATCTGCTCTTGGACATCGGGACACTTCCAGACAAGCGAGGAGAGCACAAGCACAACCAGCTTCTTGAGGTTGCGCCATTCGAACTCGGAGGGATCCTCTGTGATGGGAGGGGACTCGGGTCGAGAGTCGACGCTGCCGGCGCCAGTGTCGACGGGATCTGGGTCACTGGGATCGTAAGGACGTTCGACGGCAACGGGGGCCGGGGGACTGGCGCTCGAGGCTTCGTTTGTGGTGTCGTTTCGGGGAGGAGGGGGAGGGGGAACGGAGCCAAAGGACAATTGGCTCAACTGACCCTTGGGGATGCTTGCTTCCAACTCCTTGATCAGTGTGACCAGGTCGTAGACGATCTCCCATTTAACCAGTAGGTTCTTCCAGTCGTTGTTCTCGGTCAGTACGGCGAAGAACTCCAAGAACTGGTAGACACCTTCGTATACCCGTTCCATGTCCCATAGATTGAGCGGGAAGTCCTCCGAAAGAGCCCGGTCGGCACGGATCTGGCCTTGGAGGTAGATCAGAGCGCAAGTCTCCGGGATGATGTTGCCACGGAAGATGGTAAAGATGTATCGGACGGTGAGAATATCAACCCGGTTTAGTGAACTCGGGTTTCGGGGAATGTTGGGCTGAGCTGAGCCCGTCACGGAAGCAGGAGAGTACTTGGCTCGGAAGATGTGGGTGAGGATCTTGATCACAACAGCCTGCGCCGGAGAGATGATGTCCTTGGGCTGACCGAAATCTGAGTAGGCATGAGACATAAGGCCGTTCTTGAGCACGGCCTCCATGATCTGGACCATCATCTTGAAGTAAAGCTCGTCGTCGGGGAGGTCCCATGCCGCGATGAAAATCAGTAGTTCACGCAGTAGGTTACGTCCTGTCTCCTGCGTGAGCAGGATGTGACAACGGAGCGCTTGCATGTTCCTGGATCCATTCCGTTCACCACCCTTGAGACCAAAGCTGTCCACAATACCAGCCTGGACAATCATAGGCAAAGCCTCAATTTCTGCCGGTCCAAGAACCAGAGGGATATCTGTGAGAAGACCCCGCTGTTGATCACCAGGACGGCCGCGGTATTCATCGTCTTCCTCTTCTTCGTCATCACCTTCTCCATCGACGCCATCGTCCTCCACGTCATCATCGCCATCTCCGTCAACACTTCCGTCAGCCATGTGGTCCAGGCTGTGTGAGTCGTCATCTCCCACTGTGTGCGCATCGCCGTGGTCATAGTCATGCTCTTCGTCACCATCGATATGTGATGGCTCCTGGAGCCGAGCCATGAGTTCGTCCTTGGCCTCTTGGAGAGTCTCGGCGGCAGATTGAGCCGACCGGGGCATACTGGTATCTTCGTCTGTAACAGGTCCATCCACTGCACCGAAATCGTTGATCTCTGGAAGATCGGCCCAGCAAAGACGAGGGAAACCAGCCGTGAGACTGCGATCGATAGTCAGGATGGTCTTCTTCTTGGTGACTTCGTGTTCCTCTTCTTCCTCGTCATGTTCCCTGTGATCGTCATGCTCTTGTTCTTCGTGGTCTTCAGGTTCCTCGTGCTCTTCTTCGGGAAGCGCAGCCGGGAGCTCACGAGCCCGGTCCTGGAGATCAGACCAACCGTCAACTTTAGCCCCAAGTATCGCAGTCAAAGCAGCCCTGATATCTTTCACCTGGTCTGGGTCTCTACCCATTTCCTGGATAGCGCTGAGATCTCGGCCCAAAATCCTCTCCATGTGATCCTTAATGTTAGCCAGAAGTAGCATAGCAGCCTCTTCCTTGATAGTTGCCGGCTCCCGCGGGAACTTGGCGATAGTCTCCAATAGCAAGTCCTCTGCAGTTTGGTCGTAAAGCGCACGGATCGGCGGGTTGATGACGCGCTCTCCAACTTGCACAATCGGTGCCACTCCTTCTCGCGAGCTGGCATCGTCCAAAGGCTCCTTTGGTTTGATGATGTTCGTATCAGCGGTCGAATGGTAACCAAACAGATCCAACCAAAGGACCATCTTGCGATGCTCGTTGTGCATAATGAAGTTATGAAGGTACTGCAGGCACGTAATCAGAAGGCGCTTGTAGAGGTTGACGACTTTCTGCCATCGCTCCTCGTTCCGCGCATTTTGCTCGCCGTCGAAGCCTCGAGCGGTGACTCGCACACAGGTGTCGATGAGAGCTAAAATTCTTTGGTCAAATCCTGTTTCCGCCGCAAGGTTCTGTGCCTTCTTGGTTGTGGCGAGGAGGTTGCGAGCGATTGTACACAGATCATTCAAGCGCTCAATATCTTTGACCAGCGAGAAATAATTGTATGCGATCAGGTTAGCTGATGAGTGTTCGTAGCTTGCTGCGGGGCTCTTCCACGCGAAAGATTGGGACTCGAGGACGGGGATTGCTTTGGTGAGGACGTTTGTGAGACCTTGCCAGATATCCGGCGACATGCCGAGATTGTGACTAGTGAGGCGCAACATATTAGTATACAAAGCATGAAAATGATCAATTATATTATTATCTTACCGAACATCACTCTCCTGGTGTGTCTTGTACAGGATCTGCTTCCCAGCGGCAAGCATGTGCTCCAAGCGCTTGTCATCGATCATGCCCCGAACTTCGTAGTGGCTTAGGGTCCCTGCAAGGACTACCTTGAGCATAAGCTCAGCTGGCGTGCATAGTGGCTTTGGATCTGCCATCTTGCAAAGAAAATCCCTATGAAGCGTATCCCGTGCGGTAAACAGCGGGGGAGATCAGAAGTGGGATGAGAGAATCCAAGATTCGGAGGTGTGGAGAGACAAATTTTCCGCCCGCATGATTGTTATCGTTATCGCTCAGGGCTATTCCGCCTAACAGTGCCATTCAGACCCAGGACGATCATTTTGAAAATTGATGTAATGCTTTCCCACGCTTAGGAGGTTTAGTTCAGTTTGAACATTGAAATCTCTAGAATTCACCACATTTTACACATCTCTTCCCTTCGTCGCTTAAAACCGCTGGTCCACATGGAGAATGGAGTAATTCTCTAGTTCCTGAGTGAAACGGAGAGTATGTATAGAAGATACCATCTTTAAACAAACACTGTCTACGGATATGTGTAAATGTGAAAGATAAAATTTGTTTCCAGTAACCACTATTGATATTGGCAAGCGTCCAATTGATCTGAGTACTTTCAGGCGGGACTCTGAGCAAGCACGGCGGCTGCGGTCCAATGGAAGATATTCCGATGCTTCCCCTCGGCGTGTAACTGAGAGAGAAGCTGTTCGACATCACTGGCCGAAGAAGAGTCACTCTGAGCCTTCTGCATCCCATTGAGAAAACCCCTGGAGCTCATCACGTAGTTACAGATAGCGGTCAGCATTAAGTAGGGATAATGTTTCCAATATTGATCTTGTTAGATCATCTCATTAGTGCCTGGTTACGCAGGCTTGTTTGCTTGCAGGTTGAGAATTTGCTTGCTAGTTCCACCCTGTTTCTAATAGGATTGGATAGATCATGATTCTATCCAGCAGTTGCTTGTAGCCATAAGAGATCTACAATGCACGGAGAGGATCGTCCAATACCCATTCAAAAGACGCACATACAATCAGGATCCGATTTACCTTCAATTAGCGTTGTAGATACATAGCACAACGTCTTTCCACCAAATATATTTTAGACATTCCTTTAAAGCAAACTTTCAAACCCAACGTAGATGGTATTTACAATGAGTCTAGATACCGGATGTCTCCTTAGATCGACGAACAGATAATCCCACCACGTCCCGAAGATTATACCAGAAGCCCATATCGTAGATGTTGTCGATATCTCTCATAGTGTGGAGTCGCTTCCATCGAGGGTCAGGAGGCACGTCTGAATCTGGGCGATG